TGCCTTTTCCATCACTGGGAGCTAATCCTGACAGTGACGTTGGACATCATTATTAATAGGTCAAGAAGAGACATAAAGAGAAGGGGAAAGTGGCTTGGGCTGAGTCACACAGTGAAGTTGAAACAGCATGCTCCCTGTAACAAACCTCACCCGGGCTTTCCGATGTGGCTGCCAGCTCCACAACCTTGCTCTCTTTTTTTGTACTTTGTACAACAGATTCACTGGCTATGGAAGCAGGTCTGAATTGTCTTGGTGATAAGTAAAGGAAACCTTCCTCAGTTTGGTATTTTATGATCTCGCTTTGTTTCCTGCTTGGCAGGAGGCCTCACCATTGAAAATCACTAGATCTTCAGGTTACCCTCCACTCAAATGTAGCAAAGAACTCTTGATATCCCTGGGATCCTTTGGGGATACTGAGGACGAAGTAGGGAAAGAAGGATCTGCTTCATCCTTTCCACAGGTGAATATCAGGCCAACTGGAGCAGCACAGTCTCCTGGAGAACTTTTAAAACTAGAATGCTTGGGCTAGGAGTGCAGCGCAATGGGAGAGCACCTGCTGAGCATGTGTAAGGCTCCGGGTTCAGGCCCCAGCATCACAAAAAGATACCCTGGGGCTTGGCCAGCTCAGCTTGGAATGTTACCTACCCCCTGCTCTCCCCAGGGAGCCCAGCCCCAATATGGAGCCCCCTTGAGTTTAGAAGCAGCTGTTGAAAGCCCCTGTCACTTAGCTGACAGGCATCTTCTTTGTGAGATGGGAAGTGCCACGGTCTGTTGTGTTTGAGCATTCCCATAAACTCATCGTTCCTCCAGTCTTGGCACTTATTACATACTGCCTGTTGTCTTTACTTAACTGCTTCAGATCTCTGCTTCTCATATCCTCAAAAAGCTACTGGAAAGTAAGGAGTATGTACACCATATCCTATTAATATTGCTCCAAAATGCCAGCTTCATTAGCACACAGCGCATGTTTGGTGCACATGAGTTGAAATGATGGAAGTCTTGTAGATGGGAAATCTGACATAATTTCTTACTTATTTGGACAGAAGCTCCATGTCCTTTGGAAGCAAAATGATCACATGGGAAAATTCTCATAGACAGAAGCCCTGGCTTCCGATCCTGGCTGTGTCCTAAACTCCCATTGTGACTTGTAGTAAGTTACTAGCTTTCTCTGGCATTTAATTTCCTCATATGTGAAGCCAGGGCTGATAAGTAAGCTTCATGTTAGCGCTGGGCTTGGGCTATTCTGCATAGCAATGGGCAGTCTTTTTCTCATGTGAAGGTGTGAATGTCTTTTAAAAGTGTAAATCGATTCCAGGTTCCGAAATGAGAAACTTGGGTAGAGATCAAAGTATGTGATTTGGCCTCGGTTCTATGCATTGTGTGTGTGGAGAGGAGAATGTCGCTCACTTTTCATCCATGTTCTTGGCTTTGACTGGACACTTCCATCCTAGGAATGTGAAATGTTCACTATCTTCATGCTTGTTCAGTCTTTTTATGAATGAGCTGGTGTAGAGGTTCATCCCAGCTGGATTTCTGCTTGTCCCTCTGCATGTTTCTAGTCTGGACTAAAATGTTTGTTATTATGTTTGATAAAACCTGTTCAAGTAATGTGTTCTAAGGAGGACAAGGAGGACACAAGACACCAGTATTCTTTTCTTTCATGGAGCATCTGATTTACTCAGAAATTTGGTACACAGACATGGGGATGTGCTATTGTCCATAAAGAACTACCTGGGAACTAAGGGTTGCTTACAGAAAGCTCCAGTACATAGAACAGAGTCTGCTACTACACAGGTGATACTCACTATAAATATCTGAAAGTGAATGAAAATGTCCATGCCTCTCAAACCTTTTGTTTTAAAGAGACATCTTTAAGGCAATTGTGTCTTAAGTTCACTACATGAATGAGTTGGGTATGATACTGTCTTGATTGAGGAAAGCTAGGGACCAGTCCTGTTTGTTCACTACATGAATGAGTTGGATATGATACTGTCTTGATTGAGGAAAGCTCGGGAACAGTCCTATTTGCTCTCCCCTCTAGGTCCCAGGAAGGTTCCTCGGAGCCTAACTGGAAAACTTTTCTTGTATCCAGGAGAAATGAGAAATGTTTCAATTCTTGCTCTTTTCCCAATTCCTTTTGGCCACGTACAATCTTAACAAAATAAATAGAATATGATCTTTCAGTGGGGACATGTGTATCTGAAAAGAAAATGCTGCCAACTCCCTCCACCCACCCTCACTCCAGGGATCCCCCAGTTATTACTAAGAGCATGGAAGAAGTTGTTTTCAGTAGGAGATTTCCACCTTAATCCACAAATGTATATGAGATTAGTGTTTGTTTAACTTAAATAAGAAGGAAAGGAAAATAGTGTGGTAGTTTCTCCAGCATGCAGTAGAATGCTTGTTGGGTATAGTCAACTTCAGTGGACCACAGTGTAAAAAGCTACCCTGTGGAGTCTGCTATGGTCAGCAGCCAGCTAGGTGCAGCTGCCTTTTACATCAGAGCACCCTACATTACCCTGACAATCAGAAATATTCCTAACCAAATTCACGGTCAGCGTTGTGTACATGCACGTGTCCAAGTCTCCCTAGAGAGCACATCTTTCTCCATGTTTGTAGGACTGTGACCCTCTGGCCAGCCTGTCCGACATCCTTGTTTCCCCATCACCAACAGGTTAAGGAGAGATAATGTTAAGGAGCTTACTTGACAGAGTGGTCTGAGAAGCAAATCACACCTCCCCCCCCCCCTTCATCTTTGGAAAACAATCTGGTGTAATGTTTTGGAGATGTCAAACGGATAATGCTTTTAAATTAAGAGGTTTCATTGTTACTGGTGTCATGGCCCTTTCATATGAATCTCTTCATGCCCTACAGATTGTCCTTCCTTATAAGAAAAACAGTTATACATATAACTTTCTTATATGCCAGAATCGGTAGGCATATAACTGGTTCTGGGAATTCCATTTGACAGTAAACTAAGGGATGAAAGGAATGTCCCAGTCCCAGAGAGCAAGCCACCAGAAGCTGCAGCTTCTTCCCTTCTGACTTATCTCCATCTTCTCCATCTCCTGATGGGCTACCTATCTTCAATATCCAGCTCAGGCTGGACTCTGATAGACGACAAGCATTTGCTACTGTTGAAGTTCCAAGCATCCCCCTGCCCTCTGCCGCCATAGCATATGGAATAGTTATTTTGGATTCAGGAGTTAACACCTGAAATCTGGTTTTAGGATCAAGAACACTCAAGATTAGGGCTGGAGGAAACCTTAGGACCCCCAAGGATTTATTCAGGGTCTGTCTGACAGCTAAGACTAGACCAAGTTTTCCTACATGCTGCCTTCCTGGTTGGATCCTGAGCCTACTTTGATTTCTTGCCCCTTTTTAGTCTATAAATTGCCTTCCTTCTCTTCTCTGTCCCATGCTTACTGTCCTGTCTGACCGAGAGAGGGGCTCTGGAGTGTGCTGCCCAGTATCTGTACTTATTCTCTAGGACCTTGGTGTTTGTTGGCTTAAGGCTGGATTAAGGACCTCAGTGCTGGGAGAGAGTCAGACATCCCAGCTCTGAAACAAGATTTCACCCCAGCTAAAACCACCCCAGACGTTTGTTTGTTTAGAAGTGAAAATAACAGTTTTAGATGATATTGCCCCAAGTCCCCCAGCTAAATGTCCACAGCAGGAGTCAACTTGGTGGCACTCTGCTGGGACTCTTACTTTGAGCACTGTCCAGGACCTCTAGGCGCTGGAGGGGGTAGGCCAACTGAGAGCAAGCCTGAACTCTGCCTTCCTTCTTGGAGCAGCACAACTCTCCCTGAAGTATAGCATTCCTTTATGTATGGAAACCTGTCTGTTCATTTTGTTCATGGCTCTTGTCTGAAATGCAGGGGCTGGCAGTAAACCTCTGTGTGGTCTGTACCCAGTCTGGCATTTTTTAAAACTTTGCCTGGTCGAGATCCTACCCCTGCCCGCCCAAGCCAGGCACTACTCCTGGAGTCCAACCTAGTCCAAGGGTGCAACCCCTATGGCGAGGCACCACTGCCAGAAGTCAGCTCTGGTGAACCTGGAGGCTGTTAGGTAGCTGGGCTGTGTCTGCACCCTCGGACTTTCTTCTGGATTTGCTGTGCCTTGGGCTGGTATCCTCCGCCCGCTACTCTCTCACGCCCCCAGTGTCCACCAAACTCAATAAACTCAGCTCTCCAGGGTGTGCCCATCTGGTCTCTGGGTCCTGAAGCCCGTGAATCTCCAGCTGGGTGCCCACTGCTCGCTCCAGCACTGGTTCCGGAATTAGGAGAGAAAAAGAGGAGGGCCAGAGGGCACCTCTCTGGGGTCCGTCCGAGTCAGCAACCCGATCTTCGTGCTTCCCTTGCTGCCCAGCACCGGCTGCCCAACTTTTTTCATCCGTTAGACCCGCTGCTTGGGATTCGCAGTCTAAGTGGGAAACAAAGAGCTCTCCCGAAACTGCCCTAAGTCTCTTTGAGGGGATTCCCCCAGGAAACTCAGGAGCTTCAGTGGAGGCACTTAGTACTTCTAGGGAACAAAGGGTGAGGACTTCTTGGGTGCCCCTCAGCTATCCACTCCGTTTGCATACAGCAGCCATCACCCCCCCCCCCCGGACGAGAGCGAGCCTGGCATTCCAGCAGATCCTGTTCTTAGAGCCCATTGGGACTGGCTTCTCCGGGGCAGGGGACTCTAGCAAGCGGCTGGCAGAGCGGACCTGTTTGCTGGCTACTTTGGAGGTGGGATGGGATAGAGTTTAGAGATGGAAAAGCGTGGAAGAAGAGGTTGCGTTCCTCTCCCCGGTTCATAAATGATCCAAGTCGCGAGTGGGAAATAAAGAGTAAACACAAACAACCTCAAAAAAGAAGCCAAGAAACCCTAAGCCAAAAGAAGCAAGCACAACGCTGTTACAAAACTGTCTGGTTTTGTAACAATTTCCCCGCTGCCGGCCAATGAGCAGCGTGGTGGGGCGTCACGTGGTGACGTTTTATATAACACTTTGCTGAGACAAGACAGTTATTAGGCGGCGCGGGGCAGCCGGCATGGAGCTCCAGGAGGCGAGGCAGAGCCGGGCGCACTGCGATCCCGCGTTCATGGCAGCGCAGCTCGCTTCCAGCCGTCGCTCTTTCCTCTTAGTTCCCTGTTCCTAGACGCCTCCTCCCCCGCCCCAACCTCCGCAGGTCCCTCTCTCTATGGATTCATTTCAGACTGCACAGATGTTGAGCTTGCCCGCCGAGCTCGGCGGCAACAACTTAGAACTGGCGGAGCTGGCGGAGCCGGAAGAGCGGGCGGCATCGGTGTCCGGAGGAGACTCGGAGGCCCACCCAGACGAGTCTCCCGAGAGCTCCGAAGCTCCCCGGACCCAAGAGCTGGAGCAAACACAGCCTCCGGGGACCTCGACGCCGTCCGAGTGCAAAGTCCTGCTCACACAGGCAGATGCCTTGGCATCCGGGGGGCGCCTTCGGGAAGCCCTCGAGGTGTACAGACAGCTCTCCGAGAGGCAGCAGCTCGTGGCTGAGCAGCTGGAGCAGCTGGTGCGCTGTCTGGCTGAGAGCGTCCCGCAAAAGGAGCCGGTGGCGCCAGCTCCCTCGGACCAGAGCGGCACCTCAAGCTGCTGCAAGGTGGCCGTGCAAGAGGCAGGGGAGGCTGCAGCCGTGGCCCCCGAGGTATGGGATGGCTTTAAGTGCCGGAAGTGTCACGGATTTCTCTCAGACCCGGTGTCCTTGTGGTGCGGCCACACCTTTTGTAAACTGTGCCTGGAACGTGGGCGGGCCGCCGACCGGCGCTGTGCGCTGTGCGGGGTCAAGCTCTCGGCTCTCATGATGGCCAGTGGGAGGGCACGCGGGACGCGGCGGGCTGAGCAGCCGGCGCCACTGCAACTGCGAGTCAACGTGGTACTCAGCGGCCTCCTGGGCAAGTTGTTCCCGGGCCCGGCGCGGGCGTCGCAACTCCGGCACGAGGGCAACCGGCTGTATCGCGAGCGCCAGGTGGAGGCAGCTCTGCTCAAATACAACGAGGCAGTTCGGCTGGGTGAGTCCTCCAGCCGCTACCGGGCCGCGAGGGCTCGGTCACGACGCGAGGGGGCGGGAGAATGAGCCGGGCTGCGAGATGGGGGATGGACCAGGGCAGAGTTGGGTGCGCACGGGGGAGGGGGGGGGAAGGGAATGGCCTGTGGCCCAAGAGGTGGAGGAGGAGGAGGAGGGACATTTCTAGGAGTTTGTCTTCTCTACTTTAGCTGTGCCTCAGTCTCTCCGGTTCTGTTGCTTTTTTTTGGTCTTTCCCGTCTCTCCTGCTTGCTTTTGTGCTTCTACGCCTCCCGGTCCCAGTTTCGTTCTGTTCCCCTCTTTTTGCGCGTGTCTTCTCATCTTTGTCACTGTTTCTGTCTTGCTGGGTGTCGGCGTCTCTATTTCTTTATTTTTCCTGGACGCTTCAGAGCTTCCCTCGTCCACCTGCCGGCACCTTTGCTGCCGGGAGAGGAACTTGGCACTATTTCTCAAACTCCCGCGCGGTCCTCCTGGCTTTTGCCAGCCCGAGGTGGCCCGCCGCCGGCGCCCGCCGGAGTCTGCGGCTCCCGTCTCTGGGAGTTGCCCCTTCCGGGGCCGCGGCTCCCTGTGGGGTGGGTCCGGCCTGGAATTAGGTCAGGAGAGCACTGGTTGCATAAGGACCTCGAGCCGCCCGGGCCGGCGGCCCCTCCTCCGCGCGGGCGGGCGGGCGGGCGGGCAGGCGGGCAGGCGGGAATTGTGTAACGCTGAGGTAACCGAAGTGGGCCACGCTCGCCTCGGAAACCATCCCGCGAGCGTGTGCGGGGGGCGGAAGGGGGGGCTCGCTCCCCGCTGCCCTGTGACTCATTGTCACTGCTTCCTATCACACGATCCTTGGCTGAAATAGATGCACTTGCCCACCCCACCCCCCTCCACCCGCCGCCGGAGTCAGACAGCCTGTGCCCTGACATCGAACCCTTTGACCCCTCTAACCCAATGGGCGCCAGGACCAGGTAACTTCTCGGGATTCCCGAGGAAACAAGGGCCGGTCTACAAAGGGGGGGCCTCTGTCTACCTTCTCCAAGAGTTGCCTGAAGAGGTAGGGTGGGCTTTGTAGCTTCAAGGGCAACCCGGGCAGTCCCACATCTCTCCTGGACTGGAGCACAGGAGTTCTCCCAGGGACCTGTTTGCTTCATCCGCCTCCTCCCACTCAGACCCAGGAAGTGGCCTTGGAACCACAAGCTGGTGCCAGCACCTCTGCAGGCAGGCAGGGCGCAGTGTCCAGATAAGCTTGCTGGGGAGGAGGCAGTGAAGCTAAGCAGACAGGACTGTGGGATCCTAGGGTCTCCTAGGTAATCTCTGAGGGATGGAGGAGGGATGGGATGGAGTCTCCACATGGTGAATCCCACTCAAGCCAGCAACAGGTAATGCTGGAGGGAAGAAAACCAGGGTTGACAGGAAGTGAGGACTGAGGGACACAAACCTACTCACAACACATATCCTGTCGTGCCTATACAAAACAGACTGTGAGCTGCTGCTGTGTGTTTCAGCAACGTGGCAGAGAAGACTGTAAACTCTGTGCTAAAGGCAAGAGCAAATAATGGGCACCCAGATCATCCCTGAGCCTACGTCTGAGGGATGGAGTAGAGGCAGACGCCAAAGCCTGTTTCAAGCAATAGAAGCTGTAGCCCAGAACCTGAGGAAGAATGCAGCAATATGAATGAAATAGTTTCTGGCCACTTATGCATGGAATTCTAAGGGAGGCTGTATTCTTTTCATCCATTCCCCAAGTGCTGGGCAGGAAAGCCCCTTCCCATGCATTCCCCTTCTATCACTGCTACCACTTTCCCCAGGAGGATCTTCCCTATACCTTTGTTAATCTCCTCAGAGCAGGCAAAACTGTCAATACCACCTTCGCCCTCCTAAGAGGCAAAGAGGCCTCTTCAACAGACTGTATTTATCCTGGGAATGGCTAGTGGTTTCTTATTCTAAATGCTGTGCCCACACTCAGAAGAAGGAGCTTCCCTCTCCCTAAGGCTCAAAATGTTAACATCCACTAGCATTGGTGTGACTTCTAGCCCCATCACTTCATCTCCTTGGCCTTGTTTTCCTTATCTAAAGAGTGGGTGGTGAGAGTAAGACTCCTAAAAGCCTTGTCAAGGTACTTTCTCATTTGGCCATCGATAGGAGGGTGGACCTTGTAAGTGCATATCTGCTTCTTCCAGGAAAGCTTCATATTCACTGGCCATTGGGAAGAGGGAGAGGTGGTGTTAATACCACAGATAATCCTGCCTAGAATGCTAACATGGACTTGTCTTGTTGGGGGGTCCAAATAGGGGTCACATCTGGCTGCCTCTCTGTTCCCTGGCTGCATTCTTTTTTGATAGTAGCTCATTCAGACACCAGGTTGCTGGACCCTAGCAATGTGCATCATCCATCTGGCAGTGCCGGGATTTCCTCTAGGTGAAAGTTTCTAATGCATTATGGACACCACACCCCCTAGGACCCACTTGAAAAAGGAGGGCAGCATTACTCCTTTGCACGGAGAAGCTAGGGTGTTAAAGTCAGGACAATATTAGGACTGGAAATGACACTTAACCCTTTGGATCCAGTAGAAAGAGCTTAGGAAACTTTTCTTTCCTCAAGATCCATCTTCATACAGGACTTATCACATGCTTGTGCTGGGGGCCATTAATGAGGGCTTTTTTTTTCTCATTTTGGCAGCTCCAAATGATCATTTGCTTTATAGCAATCGGTCTCAAATTTATTTCACCTTGGAGTCTCATGAGGATGCACTGCATGATGCAGAAATAGCATGTAAACTTCGGCCAATGGGTTTTAAGGTGAGTGTGGGACAGGAGGGATGGGAAGGGACTATACTGCAGACAAGGATTGGCAGGAAGGGCTGTCCCTATGGGGCAGGAGATGCTAGAACTTGGACAGAACAGGGAAAAGCTTTTCTAAATGATTGGACAGTGCACGGCATCCCTTGGTCAAGGGAGGTCTAAGTCTGCAAGGGGTCTCAAATCTACCTTCAATTGGTGACCTTCAGGATAGCCTGGTCTTCATATTTTAAAAAAAATATGGAATCAGTAGCCAGACAGCCCGACTTCATGTCTCAGCTCTGTAACTTTTCTTAACTGTACGGTCTTGGGAAAATTACTTAATTTCTCTGTGTCTGATGTCCTCATCTATAATATTCTTATATTCGACGCAACTACTGAATAGGGTTGTTTGTGGGGATCCTACAAGATCATGTAGGGAAGATGCTTGGGACAATGTGTGTAGCATTATGTGTTTGCTATCACTGCTGCCATCACCATCACTCATAATTTCCTAGGGACAATAGGCCGAGGAATCTGAGAAAGATATTGCTGCCCTGGTCCTTAAGAATGTCTACTGATAGCCAGGCTTCTTGAGAGCTTAAACAGTTTCTTTAAAGAGATCTTCCTATTTGCACAATGGTTGTGCCATTTTTGAATCATTAATACAGTCATTTGACATGTCAGTATGTATACCCTCAAAAAATCTAGGTCACAAGGGAGAGGTGAGAAGGAAGACAGGGTAGACATCAAGCTAGAGGATACCTGAATACAAAGTACCACTTTCGGCAACCTTGCCTGACTTCAGGACCAGCCTCCTCCACATGTTTGTATTTTGTTTAGAAGATTAGAACTGGGTCTGGAGCTCAATGTTTGCAAAGTGTGACCATAGGGAAGTAGCTACACTCTCTGACACTCGAGTGCTCTTCTTTGTTAAATGGCGTTATTGCTATCTGCCATGGTTGTTTCACGGGTGAGAATGGCTATAAATGTTACAAGATCTTGGTTTAAGGTCCTCTGTGTTCAGCCTGAGGGTGGGAAAAGCAGTGTCTCCAAGACCACGGTCACTGTGGCTATCTGAATCTCATGGGAACAGGCGTCCTCTGAATCCAGAATGTTCCTGATGGTAGAAAGACCTTGGATTGGGCAGTACCTTCAGTAATCTCTAGACAGCCTCCCAGTCGGTCTAATTAAACACACTCTCTGCAGCAATTTACATGCAAAACAACACTGAATAGGATAAATACTACAAAACAGTTTACATCAGTTTAGTTCAGATGTTGCTGCCTAATGAATTTTGATGTTAATCCTATGAAAACATTGGATAATCAGAAGTTTTTACAGATCTAGAAACTTCAGATAAGGTCTTGTTAAGCTGGGCATGGTGGCATGTGTCTGTAATCCAAGCAGGATCATGAGTTTGAGGCCAGCCTGGAGTATTACAGTAAGCTTATAATATTCAAGTAACTCTTATTGGTCTTTCATGAGAGAGTTTTCATGGACGGTGATAGGTCAGTGTGTTCTCTTTCCCAAGGAACACATTTACAGCTTAATACCAGTCACCAATGCCTTAAGTTGCCATGGGGACAGGCTGTCTAACATGCAAGCCAGGGAGCTGCCTTGGGGTGAGGGGTTTCTCTTGCAGCCTTTTCCACTAAAAGGAACACTAACTCTAGATACTGTGGTGGGAGGAGGACTGAGAAACATGTTCTAGATGAGAAAAGGGGTTTCTACAGCGAAGGAAGAATTGGTGTGAGTACTTGAGGGGTCTCATTTCCACACAGTTGGGACAAAAGGGAAAGTTCAGAGAACTCTTTTGTCTTGGGGTCTAATGCATATACCTCTACATTCTGATTCTTGTATTTCCCACTATTTCTGGGTGAAATGCCATAAGAGAGCGAGTCCAGTAGGCAGCCAAACTTCATCCATCTATCCCGGGCTTAATGTCACTCGTCGCAGCTTGCTGGTAGCACAGCTGTCAGTGGGGTAAGCTGGCCACCGTGAGAAAGTGGGCCGTGTGAGTTGCTACTGCGTTGATTATTAGGAAGCCAGAGGCCTCTCCAGTTTTCCAGCACTTATCACCCTAAAGCTGCTCTGCAATGTCCTGCTAGCCTTTCTCCAGAAGGCTGCTCTTGGCAGGAGCAACAAGCGAATGTGGCAGCCAAGCTCAGGATCCAGAAAGAAGTGAGGGTGTGGATAGAGGTCCCCAAGAGGTTTGTGGCTGTGGCCACTGCTCAAGAAAGCAGCTCCTAGCCAGGCCCTGACACCATGCAGACACATGTTAGAAGAGGAAGCAGGGGAATGCCTGACAAGTGACATCTGGGCCTTTTCATTCATACTAGGCACAAAGAGAAAGCAGCCCTTTACTTTTTTTCCCCTTTCTTGCCCATTTCAGGATACTGCTCAGGCCCTTCTACAGAATTTAGTCCAGAGCACTTGGGTTTGAATCCTGGGCCATAAAACTTCCTTATAACTGTAAAATGTGCAGCAACAGAGAAAAAGACAGCCAAGTTTCTAGAAGCAAAAGCATTGGCTCGCTCACTGGTCAGACTTGTGGAAGGTGGTCTTCCTTTGAGGGGAAGAGTGCTCTGGAAGTCCTGAGGGCACAGTTCCAGTTCTAGATTGCTGCTAGGGACCTTTGAGATGTTGGAGGAGCCGCGGTCTTCCTCTGAGGCCTCTGTAAAAGTGATTGAGTGTCTTGCAGACCAGTTCAAAGAGAGGCAAGTCATCTCTGGATGAGCAGTGGAAACTGAACTGTTGTAGTCTGTGGTTAAATGGAGGCTCTGACGTGTTTGTGATCCTCAGCTGTGGGGTGGAGAGGAGGTAGTAAGCATAGAAGCTAAGAGTATGGGCTTTGTATATAGTCAGTCCCAGGTTTAAACTTGGACTCCACAGCTTTCCGGCTGTTGTACTTGGATCAAGTTGTTTCTCTGGATCCCCCTTTTGTTGTCTTTAAAATGGGATTCAGACTAGTTAGCCATTGTTACCGGGATGAAAATCCAAGTCTTTGGACAACACTCCACCCGAGAGTGACTGCTCAGGAAGCACCCAGCAATCGCTGTTAGTAGTGGCTACATTGAGAAGATGAAGAAGATGTGACTGACTGCTAATGTTTTCTTCCAGGCACACTTCAGAAAAGCACAAGCGTTAGCCACCCTAGGCAAGGTGGAGGAAGCACTCAGAGAATTTCTCTACTGTGTATCCCTTGACGGAAAAAACAAGAAAGCCAGAGCGGAAGCTCAAAGGGTGAGTTGAGTGTCGCAGGGTCAGCTACCTAGTGGACCCCCACCACTCTGTCTTCTCTAGGGAGAAGGATGAAGATGTGACCCTCCTCAATATTTGTGATGCTGAATGGGTGGTTCTCTGGGTTTAAAGGGCATGAGAGAGATGCCAACTAATTGCCCAGAAGCCCCGCTGTTCTGGTATGTACTATCAAATTGGCAGGTCCTACTTTTTTTTGTAGGAACCAATGATGAATGCTTTGACTTGGAATCAGTGGGAGATAAACCAAACTAAACCAAGTAAGCTAACCTGGGCATGAAGGCTCACTGAGGACAGTCTACTTGTTGATGAGATCAGGGGCCAGGGGTGGGGACTGCTTACCACTGTATAACTTTTCTCTGGCTGAATCGCACATTTCACCAGTCACACATGGAGGCTAGCTTCTGGGAAAGGATACTGATGGTCTCCATATTGCTTGCCACATACAGAACTCAAATCTTTACCTCTTCTGCTAGAAAACTAAACCCAGTATCTCCCAAATGCAAAGTCGAAGTTCATTATGAAACAATCTAATTAGTCCTTCCAACTCTTGGGTGCCAGGAGATTGTGGTTGTAAAACAAATATCATGAGAAATACCAAGATCTTGACTGAAGGCTCAAACATCCTGATTTGATGAGCTTCGTCATTTACTCTAATATATTCTTCTGGTGTCTGGAAGTTGGATGCTGACACTCAGTGATTGTACTTGGTTTCCTGTCCCCAAGCAACCATTTAACACCAGGCCACAAGCCCTCCTATCCATGTGTAATGGTTTGACTGGGACAAGGAGGAAGAAAGCGAGACAGAACTGGTCCCTGAAGACTCTAGAATGGAATATTTAGCAAAACTGATAAAACTGGCAGAGGCTGGACTCAGGATTTTCTGACTCTGGCATGGAATTTCCTGTCTGGAAAAACATTTGACCTGGTTTGTGTATGTGGATAAGGTTCTATTGAAAGGGGCATGACTCAGGCAGAATTATTAGCAATCTATGGACCTTTTCTAAAACTTAAGTGTAGTCAGCCCATGGTATAACATTACCTGAGCATTGCCTATGTGCCAGTCAGTTGGTTAGTACTTTCTGTAGAAGGTTCCATTTAGTCCCCATAACCTCACTTAATTTCTTGCCATGTTATAGATGAGATGAATAGACGAGGCATCTAAGGCTCAGTGACTTTCTTGAGGCCACATGCTTCTTTACCTTTCTTTCATTCCTCAGGTGGCCCAAGAAGTTCTGGTATCATCAGTTGAACTAACCTCTCTCTCCAGTTTGCTTTTAAGGATGGACTAATTGCTATCCCTGCCTTGTTTCTTTTTATTCTAACCCCGGCCTCCTTTTCCTCATGCTACCTTCTGTCTTTCCAACCTTGTACCTGGCTCCTATATGGCCCCTCCAGGGAGACTGTCGCAGAAGTGGATATCCCCCTCTGGGGTCCCTGAGTAGCATTTCTGAGAACCAACATTGACTCCTGGGGATGAGTGAGCTCTGAAAGATGATACTTATGACCCTGGGCATTGTGTGCCTTTCCCACCTTTGCCAACTGAAACCTGGAAACCACGGGCTTTAGCAATGCTAGGAAACCTAAACAGCTCTCTGAGGATTTGAGACACCTGAGTGCTAGATTTCTTCTTGATCCCCTCGATATATAAATGCCTTCATCATTTCCATGAGTATGATGTATATTTATTAGGCATTTATCTCTGTCTAGAGAGGAAGACTTATTTTGTGACACAGTGCACAGTAAGATGGTGTCGTTTAAGGCTCAGTATGATGGTCTGTAGAGAAGGTGAAGGGACAGGTGAGGTCAGGGAAATGGGAGTTTGGAGGTGAGGCAGCACTTGAGCCGAACTTTAAAGGCTGAGTAGGGCTTCTGTGCAGGGAAAGTGCTGACGCAGGAAGGAACATCATGGAGAAACTTCGGAGGACAAGCAAGAGAACAAACCGAATTTTGAGTTTAGCGTTCTTTCAAATTCTCTTGACAAATTAACACTCTCGACTGTGTAGACTGAACAACACTGTCGGACATTCTATAGTGGGCTCCAAACATGTCACTGTGTTTTAGATGCCCTCCCTCTTGGTGCCTCACGCACGTATGCACGCACGCACATATGCACATGCACGCACGCAGATGGCTAGGTAGATGTATACTTACGTGCAGTCCCTAACCCCTGATGGCATAGAGGAGAGCTGAAACAAGAACGTGGACAGCTAACGGTGCAGCCTGCACTCAGATGCTTGTCTTTGACTCCTAGAGCATTTTCTTCTACTCCCTTCTCCCTTCTCCATTTATCCGATTGGAAGTGAACCTACCTGCCCCTAGGTACTTGAACTTAACCTGACGTTTTCTGTATTGATGACCAGGAAGAAGAAGAAGAGGCTGGAAGGGGAGAGGAAGTCTAAGCTCTGCTTTCTTAACATATAAGTACTCAGGTCCCCAGCTCCAAAGGGATTAAAATACAGGGGTGATGATGGTGGGGGGGGGTGCAAAACAGATAGGCAGAGAAAAGCAGCAGCAAGGAACCCAGTGGAGATTTGTGAGCTTCTCTGCCCACTGAGTTGTTGCAGACTTGACTCTGCATTCTTCAACGGAAGTGTCCTAGTTTGCCTCTCTGTTGCTGTGATGAACACCATGACCAAAACCAGCTTAGGAAAGGGAGGGTTTGTTTTCCTTACACACCCCAGGGCACAGTCTTATCAGTGAGGGAAGTCAGGGCAGGAACTCTAGGCAGGGACTTGGAGGTAGGAACTCAGGCAGAGGCTTACTAGCTTGAGCCTGAGGGTCACAGTCAGCTGCTTTTCTCATACACTCACAGTGTGCTGGTCCCTCCTGCATCAATCATTAATCAAGAAAATACCCACACAAACTTGCCCACAGGCCAATCTGATAGAGGCATTGTCTCAGTTTGAGCACCCTCTTCTCAGAATGACCTAGTTTGTATCAACTCGACAAAAAAACTAAGCAGTGCAGGACGCATCTCTTCTGAGATGCCTTTGGTTCACATGGATTTTAAAGCCCCGCTGCAGGTATTTCTACAGAGTGATGCCACCATAGAGATGGCTCTTAACCTTGGCTAAGGAACAAAGGCATCTGTCATGTCTTCTCAAAACTCGGATTCCTGGGTCATACTTTCAGACCTGGGGAGATTGGAGTGGGACCGAGGAACTGACATTTTCATAAGCTCCTAGGTGACTCCTTTTTTTTTTTTTTTTAAAAAAAAAAAGGTGTATTTTATTTTTTTTAATATGTGTGTGTGTTTGAATCTGTGTGTGGGTGTTTGCACATGAGTGCCTCTGGAGGTTAGAGGGGTCAGCTCTCCCTGGAGCTGAAGTTACAAGTGGTTGTGAGCCACCTTACATGTGTGCTGGGAATTGGACAGTATGTGCTCTTAATAACTAAGCAATCTTTCCGCCCCCCCCCACTCCTAGATGGTTCTGATGTGTGTTGATGTAACAACTTCTCCTTAGTGTGTCTAGGGACACTGCTCCAAGGCTTCCTCATTGGAGTTGTGCCTTGCAAGCTGTGTGCTCTCTGGTCCCCTCCCACCCCCTTCACCTTAGTCTAGCACCTGTAGAAACTTGAGTAGTGAAGTCTTCTGTTTTATGTCACAGCTTCTCTTTAGTTTCTTTACACCATCAGTCCCGGGGGATTCTCAGGAACATTCTCCTGATATCCTGAAGTTGTTGGCACCTCACCCTAGATTAAAGGAACACGTAGAGTCAATGGCTACTGAAGGCACCAGCCATAATCTACCAAAGTTGTCACAGGTAAAACTCAACTCACCCAGCTCGCTCATGATGCTTCGTTTGGCTCTTTTGTGGGCACACGAGAAGAGAGCCCGACCTTTCCTACTTTGGTTCCTGAGGGAAAAAGAAAGATGGAGTTGATAATGGCTGTGTCCTTTGCTTAAAGCTACAACTGGGAATTTCAGGCATGGTCAAAAGTTTATTTAGTTATTAATGTGTTTGTACTCTTGGTCAGATCCAGAAAACTGAGAGATTTGATAGAAGTAGAAAGAGATTGACCCACTTCCCCTGAAACCCTGTAATTGGGGTGTGCTTATTGGCTTTAGCTTTGGGGAAGATTCAAGCTCATGGCCTTTGAGCATCAGTGAGAACTTTGTGCAAGGGTAACTCCATTTGGGAAACAAATGGAGGGGATTTCTTGTTCTTGTTTATACCTTCCACATAAGTAGGCTTCTCATGTACATTTATAGCAAAGTAGGGGTACGAGAGTTAAGTTGAGAATGAAAACAAGTATTTGTGGTTTTCTTTGAAAACAAGGGAACAGAACACAGAGGGGTGGATTTCGGGAGCTGGCCTTTTTGCCACAGGGTAAGTGGGCAGAAGTTGGGGCTCAAAAGGACTAGACTTAAAGAGAGGTTTAACGCTGAATTCCTGGGCACCTTTGGGGAGCAGTTTCTTCTCCATTTCTACCTGAAGTTACTCACTTGCATATAAGCCCTGAATGCTCACATCTTCCCAGTTTTTGTCCCTGTTCTAGAGAAGGAATAAGGAAAAGCAAGGCGGGTGATTTTTCTTGGTAAAGGCAGAACTTGGAGTATCTCCTGAAATCAGAGAGCCCCTAGTGGTCATTAGTACATGATTAAGACAGCTAACACTAGGAATGAGGACTTCTACTTGAAATTCAGTCTGAAATGAAGGAATCAGAACCTCTGGTGATCCGATGTAAGCCAACTGGGGATCCACGAGTGCATTTCCACCCACACTTTGTTTTCCAAGGCCTTGGGTTCTTATGTGGACAGTGCTCTGGGCTCATGAAAAGGCAAGGCTGTAGGACTGTTTTATTTAGTCCTTGAACCCCCCTGAACATCCTGGGATATGGACTGCGAAAACCCACATCCTCCCCTCTCCTCTCCAGCTCATTGTGTCCTCTCGCCTGTGTCCACTAGAAGTTCTGGCAGGTGGAGAGGGAAACAATGATGGTGACCATTTTGCTGTCAAATATATAAGCCCACCTTCGGAATTATTTCTAGTGCCACTTTCCAATATCCTTCTCCTGGATGAAATTCTCTAAAAGGCTAAAGACAAGCTATTAAGCCAAATTATTTTTGTCTCCTTTTCAGACTTTTCACTCAAAATTGAGGAAAAGGAATGGATTGTCTCCTGTCCCTCTGATGGAAATAGCATATAGCTGTGAAGCATAGGTTGCCTTGGCAGGCCTGTACAAAGCTGGCCCAAAGCCTTACCTAACGCCCTTTGAAAAGTGGCTATGAATGACGGGGGGTGGGGGGGAGGAAGTATCCAGTAACAGGATATCCCCTCCCAGACTGCTTTGATTTCCTCACAGACCACTGGGGAATGGTTTGGATAGGGGGGCAGAGTGGTGCTTCCCCTGCAGTCCCTCCTTCCCCCCTGCCCAGGGAGCTTTTCCTCCCGTGTGCCCTTTGTCCTTGCTTAGGGAAGTCCCCTAACTCTACTTAAGCTAAGCACGTCTTTGACATAAATTAGATGTGAGCAATCAGCCTCATGGCTGCCCCTCCGTTGAGTTGTGTATCCATTGAGTGTTCAGGAGTGAAGGTCCCGGTTATGTTACTTCCTATTTGTCCCCTCAGGGTAAGACTACTGAAGGACAATATTGGTCTCAAGTAGATTTTGATGTCTGGCTTTTGCTTCATCTAGGAAAATCCAGAGCTTCCACATTGTTCTAGTCAGGAGGAAGCAGCAGCTGGGGGAGACAGCAGCAACATGGAGAATTCAACTCAAGTAAAGGTGGGTGGTCAAGAAGACAGTGTGAAAGATCAGGAAGAAGACGAGCAGGATGCGGCCTCCATCAGGTCTGGCAAATGCCAGGGGAAAAAAAGGAACCATTGCCAAATTGACGAAAACCAAGAAGATACAGACATGCACAATAAAGTCTCCAAACAAGGTACTAATTCTACCCAGGGAGAAAGTAGCTTAATGCAGATGACTGGGCTCACTGACATATATACTTACCCTCTGTCTGGGGGCTCTTCTGGCTCTGAGTTTATGACCTAACTCTGGCACTTTCCAGCTATGAAACCCCAGGGGTTGCTATGAGGTTTTCATGAGAGTGTACAGGGTACCCATCACATATGATAATTAGCATTCATAGTCAAGACATTGGGGCAGGCATCCCATGCTTTGCATCATGTCACTTTCTTCCAGACCAACTATTTCCTGCCCTCATCCCTGTTCTGGGAATGTAGCCTGGGAGAGGTACGGTCAGGTCTCACCCAGTTGTATTCAGAGAAGCAGTAGCTATGGCCTCCTATCTTTCCAAGAGAGATTGACAGCACCAAGATTCAGTGTCAGCTCTGAAGGCCTGGCTCAGTCCTTGGAGTTGCCACTGCTGCTACTGCTGAGTGAGGTGCCTTCCGAATTTGAACATCCCCCAGGAGCTCTAGCCTTGGACTGCTCTGTCTTTGGGGAACTGCTAAAACACCCCTGGGAGCCTACTTAGGGAATCCCATTGGCAATTGCTCAGGCAGCCACTAAACTGAACTCTGGGGGAAGTTTGAAATTGAAAATCTGAAAAACTTTTTTCCCTCAGAAGTACTGACTATAAAACCAAGTTGATCCAGCTCTGACTTAACTGTTTTCTAAATCACAGATCTTCCAGCTCATCAAGTGGCCAAACCAGATCTCAGTATTCCGCTTGCATCTTTTGATGCCTCGGACCTTGAATGCTCACTGTGTATGAGGTATGTGATATGGGCCATCACTTACTGCCTGGTACTTCCTTCTCCTTGGTATCTGGGCCTTTCTTCTAGTAACTACTGAATTAGTTAGTGTGTAAAATCATGGCACAGATGAAATGGAAACCACATTATCATGAGACCTCTGGTGTCCCCAGCTTACAAATGGTGTTCTTCACATCCTTAAATCCTGACTTAGAAAGACCTAGGGAGTGACAAGGCAACAAAGGTCAAAAACTGATGGACCACAAGTTGAACATGTCTATTTGGTCCTCATTAGATTTGATTTCGTTATATATGACTGTGCTGAAACAGGATATATGCTTTCCAGCCTGTCATGATCCTATTGACTTGTATCAGCCTGTCTCACATTACTGCTTGAGCCTTAGAGCTACTTGAATTTGTGACTTTGAATCTAAACCACTCCTTTAAGAACTCAAGGCTCAAGGGTTAATATCAATGCCAAATGGTAGCCTAAATTGGGTTGTGTATGTTGTCTCTCCTTCTTCAAGAACAACTAGACAGATTCCGTGATTGTGGTCTGAAATTGAAGTTTGTTTCATTTCGTCGCTGTGATTTAGTGGCTGAGAGAAGGGGCTCTGAAGACAGTGTTTGAACCCTAGCTCTTTCCGCCCACAGACCCTGTCCTAGAGCAAGTGACATTTGCCTCCACTATTTTTTCTTTAGTAAAGTAGAAACCAATAGTGCGTACTCCATGGGTTGTGATGATTAATTAAGAAAAACCATTCAATGCCTAGAGTAATGCCTGGAAAACAGTAAGTACTCCAAAAAATTAATTCTCTTTTTTCTTCTTACCCAGAAGTCTTTAATGTTAGATCCATAGTCTTCTGGGGAATCTCTATGTATACATTCAAATAGATCCATGAATTCACTGAAGTAATATGTAAAAGTGTGTGTGTGTGTGTGTGTGTGTGTGTGTGTGTGTGTGTGTGTGTGTTTCTAAGATAGAAGCATACAGCTTTCATTAGATTCTCAAATGTGGTGACTTTCTTCAAAAGTACTAAGATGGAACTGAGACACTTGAACAAATGTTGGCCTGTCTTTTGCAAGCCCTTATTTCTCTCCTATTGGTCATGTGAGTTTATGTTCTGAGTGACTTTTTATCATCTGAATAAGAATAAACCAACTATTACCTGAAATATGAACTTTTCTTAGAGAAAATATACTTGGGTCTAGGGCAATAACTCAGTGGCAGAGCACTTGGCTACCATTCATGAGGTCCTGGATTCAATAATCAGTATCATCATCATCATCATCATCATCATAATAATAATAATAATAATAACAACAAAATAACAATAACAGTAAGATAATAATACACAAAAAATCTGTAGTAGCATAAGCAGGTGTCAGCCAGCTCAGCAGATACAGCACAGATATCGTCAAACCAAGCTTCAAACACACTGTCAGGAGTCTGTTTAAGTGGTGTGGACCAGAGTGGGATGAACTGTAGAAACAGATCCTGTGCACCACTTCATCCAGCCCCTCCCAACAGAGGGCCAAGTGCAGCACGCTAAAGCCAAGATGTGAGATAGCGAACACCTGCTTTCACGCAGAGACTGGGCCCGATTGCCACCACAGCAGTGCTGTGGCTCGAAAGCCCGTGATAGGCACTGTGAAGTCGATTTAATTTAGCTTACTCAGAAAGAGCAGCTCTTTGTTCTGCTTAACCCTCCTTAACACTCCTGCCAAAATCCAGGCGACCCAAAATCAAACATACAGACTCATCCTGTTTGTGTTTTCCCTGCGGAATAAAAATCCTGAGGTTGAAATTCCTTTGTTCCTCTTCCTTTTCTTTTCCTCTTTCATCTTCTTTGTCCCTAATCACAAGGGACTTTGTAGAAGAGTTAGGAATTTGGTCCAAGAAATAAACACACAGAGGATAAGCACCCCCTCTAGTTCACACCCCCTGAGCTTAAAAGCCATTGTGTCCCTCTTCCTGACCCCTTGTTCCATCTTTGCCCAGAGTAGCTGTTATGTAGGCTACTAAATTATAGCTAGACTCTCACTGCCTTGTGGTGTAAGGAACCTGGCTAGCCTCAAGGGCTTTTTGATCTGAAGCCCTTAACACTTCAGCCCTTGGAAAGAAACATGTGGATTCCCTTCCAACAGGATTTGTCTGTAAGTTGCACATCAGATGCTGATCGAATTGGTTTTGTGTGGATGTCTTTGCCTGTATTTTTCTAGTCATGAAAAGTTCCTTTTCCCACGTGTAGCCATTGCTATTTTTGTCACGATTGTTGTTGGCTTTTGTTTGGGCCCTCATGTGTCTTTGGAGGAGAGCCTTTGTATTTGGTTACTGTTCTTGTTGCTCTGACTAAATATTTGACCAGAAGCAGTTTGAGGGAGGAAGTGTTTATTCTGGCTTACCACTGGCAGGGATCATTCTCTCATGGTGAGGAAGGCCTAACAGCAGGTGGGCAAAGTGTGGCTGTAAGATCAGGAGTCCTGCTGCTTTCACAATACACAGGAAACAGACAGTGATGAGTGTAGTTCTTGGCTCACTGGCTCCTGTGGAGTCAGTCTAAATCCTAGCCCATGGGATGGCGCTGCCCGCAGTTAAGATGGGTCTTTCCACCTCAGACTAATCTAGATAATCTCTCACAAGGGTCCTGGAGATTTGTCTCTTAGCTGAGTCTACATCCTGTCAAGTTGACAATTGGCATTAATCGTCACAGGTCTAAAATCACAGATAAGTTCAAGCTGCTTGGTCATGAATTAGACATTTGTACCATCTGTACAAGATTCTAGACTGAATTCTAAACCTGTGGTATTGCCCTGGCAGAGAAAAGTTAGACAAACCATGAATTTATACATTTTGATTTGAGAGAGAAAATTGATCAGGCTTTAAGTTTCACAGGGAAAGGGCAGAAAGTGTGACTGGAAGCCAGGTGTAGTGGTACAGACACACACTGTAATCCCAGCACTTGGGACCTAGATGTAGGAAGGGGAAGGGTTCAAAGTCATTTTTGGCTACACAGTGAGTTCAAGGCCATCCTGGGCTACATGAGGCCCTATTTTTTTTAATGAAAGAGTAATTAGAGAGTACATAAATGAAATCTTTCTCAATCTCCAAGTCTCCATTGCTGAACTGGAGGAACTCCATTAAGGGAAGCCTCCCCCTAAGCCCAACACCTCAGAACCCTGCCCTGCAATCATGAGAGGCATGAAATTCTCCTGGAGGTTTACCTGGCACATATCACCCTAGCCATTGGGGCTCATCTCTGGGCTGCTGTAAAGCGATACCTTTGGGATAATGCTATATTTTGAGATGTGAAGTGAGAATACTTGCTATCTGACTAGTTCTCCGATGACCCAGTGGCACTGGTGATAAGCAAAAGGATAGCTTTATATGTAATCTAGTTATAGCTCCCTAAGTCACTGAGTATTAAGGTAGTTTACTTTTCTTTCTTTCTCTCTCTCCCTCCCCCTTCTTTTTCTTTCTGTGCTGTAATCTGATAGCAAAAGAACACAGTGCAAGGCTGTCACTGGTGGGAAAAGATAGCTCTTTCCAGATAAGCCAGACATTTGATCTGGACGGACATCTAACGGAAGGCATTTTTTTCTTCCTATTGTTGACCCCATCACTCCGATAATGTGAAATGCTTTCTTGTGAGACAAGCTGGCCCTGCTCTGATTTAAAACTGTCTCCCTGAAGTACTTTCAAAATCTTTCTGTTAAATGGAAAAAGGACAGACATCCTCATATATACCTCTGTCTTCTTAGGTAAGAATCTTTGTGTCTCTTTCTAGAGAGCAGAGGAAGGAGGGAGAGTGACTGAAAGGGAAGGAGAAAAGTGCTTGTGGAAGGGTGTGTGTATGCAGATGGATCGCCGGCCGGCTGGCTGACTGGGATGTATATAATGTATTGATGCATGCAGTCCTGGCTGTCTTGTAGACTGAAGGAGGAAGATTAGTTGTGGAGTCAAATTTGATTATACATTCCAAGCTTTCTGTGTACCAGCTAGCTGTATAATCTTCTGCATGTTATCCCGTCTGAGTTTTCATTTCCTCAGCAGTAAAATAGAAATAATCATAATTACCACTTATTAATATGTAGTTAATTTTAATGGAAAAACAGCGTTGCACACAGCCAGAAATATAGCAAGAAAATATATTTATATTCTTAAAAGGGCAGTAGTCTCAATCATAAAGTTCTCAGGAAAAAAAAGTTTTGCATATTAGTAGTAGATAGGATTCATCAGTCATCCTCATATGTATAATCAAATGATATATAAAAGTATTCAGATATGCTGAGTATGGTGGTATGTACCTGTAATACCAATAGTCAGAAGTTTGATGTAGGTAAATTAGGAGTTACAGGCCAGCCTGAGCTACAGAGTAAGAGCCTACCCTTGAAAAACACCAAGGAATCTAGGGGAGGGAACACATAGTTCTAATCCCAGCAATTGAGAAACTGGGGCAAGAGGATTGCCAGGGGTCTAAGGCAAACCAGGACTATATAACAAGGCCTTATCTTAAAAACAAACAATAAACAAAGAATGGGTAGTAGTAGTGTACACCTTTAATTCTAGCATTCAGGAGGCAGAGGCAGGTGGATTTCTGTGAGTTCGAGGGCAGCCTGGTCTACAAAGTGAGTTCCAGGACAGCCAGGACTACATAGAAAAATCCTGTCTCAAAAAATTTAAAAAAATGCAAACAAACAAACAAACAAAAAACCCAAACAAAGATTTGGAGATATGATTCAGTGATAGAACACTTTCCTCACACGTATAAGGCCTTAAGTTTTATTTACACACACACACACACACACACACACACACACACACACGCACACACACACACCACAAAACAGTCAGATGCACAGACTTCACCTCAGCACTTCCTGAACCTGCCCTGAAATCATACTTCAGAAACCCATCTTGTATTGTAAACCATATATGTTCTGAAGAAAACATTGTAACTCATGTAACCCCTTGGTTTAATAATTAAGACATCAGCAAGATCCCAGAAATTGTCCATATGCCTTTTCTCAATCAGGACCATTCTTAAGCACAACTCCTGTGTGGTTTGAATGAGATGATCCCCATAGCCTCATGCATTTGAATGGTCTACAGTTGGTGGCACTGTTTGGAGAGTCTTAAGAGGTGTGGACTTGCTGGAGCAGGCGCGTCCCTGGGGGTAGGCTTTGAGCTTTCCAAACCTCCTGCTATCCCCAGATTACTCTCTCTGTTGCCTGCTTGAGGTTTGAGGGGTGAGCTCTCAGCTTCCAGCTCCAGCCACTTTGTCTGTCACGTGCTGTCCTTGCAGACCCTAACCTCCGGAACCATAAGCCTCATGTAAACTCTGTCTTCTCTAAAGATTGCCTTGGTCATGGTGTTCTCTCACAGCAATATAAAAGTAACTAACCCAACCCCCAAGCTACTATCCTGAGTTCTATTCTGTTTCTCCTTATAATTTTACTATATAGATATATAAAAATATGTAAATGGTATCATCTAGTTTGGCCTAAATCTTAAAACTTTGAATTCTAATGTATTTCATCAACCGGGTTGCTTTTTTTGAACTCAATATCAACATGTAAGTGAAGTTTGTTCATTTTCATTAGCACATAGCATCTCGTTGTGTGCGTGTGCCACAGTCTCTTTATTCTATTCTAGATGGATGCTCGGGTTGGCTCTAGTTAGGAAATATCACGAATGGTCACTGTTTTTGCATGTGCCAGTGTTTGCCCATTTTTCTACTAGATTATTTCTTTTTCCTACTGCTTTAGGTGTGTTTTTCTTACAAGCTGTAGGTGAATTTAGATACAAGCTTTTTCTTACCTGTGCATTTCAAGCACTCTCTCCTACTATGTATTTTGTCTGCCTGATAGTCATGCTTTTAAATGAACCTAAAAAGTCTTAATCTTAGCACCGTCGAAATTAGCAATCTTTTCATTTACATTCAGTGTCTCTGAATTTTCTTGATTTTTTTAAATCTCTGTGTCATAAAAGATGTTCTCCTGCCGGGCGGTGGTGGCGCACGCCTTTAATCCCAGCACTCGGGAGGCAGAGCCAGGTGGATCTCTGTGAGTTCGAGGCCAGCCTGGACTACCAAGTGAGTCCCAGGAAAGGCACAAAGCTACACAGAGAAACCCTGTCTCGAAAAACCAAAAAAAAAAAAAAAAAAAAAAAAAAAGATGTTCTCCTGTTTTATATGCTCCGAAAACTGTATTGTTTTCCTTTTCAGATTTACCTTTTCAGATCACCTGGAATTGATTTTTGTGTATGATGTAGAAGAGTCCACTTTCATTTCCCCATACAGATAGCCATTATAGCATTTATAGGGAATGCTATTTGTGCATTAAAAGTCCTCGTGTGGCCCTGTTTAAAAATGTTCCATTTGCCATACGTCAGGAATCCATGCCTGGGTCTATTCTTGAGCTTTCTATTCTGTTCCATGAGTCTATTTGTCCTTGTGCTAGTACACACTGTTTTAATCACCATGGCTTTATAATAAGTTCTGATGCTTGGTTGAGCAAGTCCTCCCACATCCTTGTTCTTCAGATGTGTCTTGGCTCTCAGCCCTTTGCATTTCCTTATTGCATTTAGAAAGCAACTTGCCAAGTTTTCTCTCAAACAAATCAACCAATAATGTAACTCATTGGGATGTATTGAGACTCACCAAATGTTTATAGTTCTTTTTTTAATTGATGTTTTTGAGAATGTCATATCTGAGTATTGTATTTACATCATTTTCACCTCTCCCTTCCCCCCTCCAACTCCTCCTGTGTCCCCTCCTCCTCCTTCTCAAATCATTGACCTCTTCTTCTATTGGCCTCTAATTAAGTATGTGTGGTACCATATAATAGGAGGCTGACAACTTCTTGCTCTAAATTGAACACTCTTGGGAAGTCAAAAGAAGCTGATCAAGATTTGTCTTCCTTCTTTCTGTGCTCATCATCTTGTTAAATGTGAACCACACTCCTTAATAGTCATCACCAGCTGACCCTAACTCCTGGTCCTGCTTCAGGTGAATCTCTCTTTATACAAAGTAAATCTATGCATCTCTGAATGTGCAGAACACTTTTTATTAAGGGTCCCCAGATTGATTTAAAAACATCCTCCCTTCCGAAAGCAATTAAAATAAGATCTACTGGAAATATGGTACATGTGAACGTATTTTTATATGTGAGTATATAGATAGATATATGCACATATATGTATATGTTAATAGGAGTAAGTACAGTAACAATATTACTTACTACTGCTAGGAGAATTATCTATTCACACAAAAGACAGGCACACGTTTGTCACAGTTGTAAGAGCCTTCAGGCACCAAACATTACTTAAATGAAGAAAAGACTAAAGGTTAGCAAACAAATTGAGTTTTTCCCTGTAGTAATATGATGAACAGGGTCTTTGTGTGTGTCTGCATGTGTGTATCTCTCTGTGTGTATCTGTGTGCTTACAATATACTCAGGTAAACAGGTTGGCTAAATACTTTTTAATAATGGAATCTATTCAGACACTCTGAGCTCTAATCTGATTTTTTTCTTGGACCAAACAGGAAAAGGCTAGAACCACTGTTACAAAATGATTTAGTTATGCCCTAAATATGAACCTATGCATCTTTCTAGATATCATTCAGAAATGGAAAAGAAAATGCTTTCCTTAGGTGTAAGAGTACCAGTGATGAAACAGGAAAAGAGTACCCGTCCCACAGGTTTTGACGAACAGTTCTATGAAACCTTAACCATGAATTCCCCTATCTTTTAAAAATCTTTTTACAATTTTCTCCTATTTCATTTCCTAAATTTCAGATTATTCTATGAGCCAGTCACAACACCTTGTGGGCACACCTTTTGCTTGAAATGTCTTGAGCGATGCCTAGATCATAATGCAAAGTGTCCACTGTGCAAAGACGTTCTTTTACAGGTAAACCACTCTTTCTTCCTTGGTTGCATTAACTCATTTTGTACTAACTCAGTGCCCAAGTGGGTCCTAAACCACTGTACTGTGCTTGACCAAAATACCACCCCCCACCCCCACCCTTGTTTGTTTCTGCTGTCTCCTAGACATCCTTTCTCTCTCCACAAAGTCCTTCAGGAAAATGAGGCAACATGTAGCTTTTCAATAACTGTCAGTAATGAAGTTCATTTAGGTTAGAGGCAAAAACACGAAATAGATAATAAACACAAATCTTGGTTCTGGTCCCATTGTGGTACCTCATAAACAATTATCTTGAGTGAATTTTGTTTCCACTATCCTTGAACTAGATAGCTCTGATTTCTGCATACAATGATGTTTATTTGTGCTTAAAAAGGTCAGCTGCTTAAGGCTCCAGCCACCACCCCACCCAAGAACCCTCTCAGATTGTCAATGTGGTCTTTCTACAACTCCTCAGGAGCCACTGTTCTATTAGCAGATACTTGGCTGCTTGTAAAGCTCTGAAGACTTCAGATTCTTTAAAATTAACTACCTAAGCTTACATCTTCAAGTGGGCCTTATGGGCTTTCCTGTGGCAAAATAAAGGAATATGTCTTGCTTTCCTTCCTTCAGATACTTGGGTATCTCAGCTTACAAACAATATTAATATTGCTTCCCCCTTATCATCCTTGAAGACAGGTTTCAGGTGCTGGGTTATCTCTAGAGAATGGTAATGCATGCTGGTAGTTCCAGGATTTGGGAAGCTGAGACAGGAGCATTGTGAGTTCAATGTCTACCTGAGACAGTAAGATCTTGTCTCTCAGGAATAAAAGGGACTATTTATATGCTCCTGTAGGTCCAGAGAAGTGTATGCCGAGCCTCCCTTAACTCTGACTTTGACAATAAGGAGCTAGAGTGAACCCATCATCCAGAGTAGCCTTGAGAATGAGAATGGGAAAGTGCTAAAGTAATGGCTTCCCTTAGATAAAGAGGTGGGATTTGCAACCTGATTGTTGATAAGATTTCCATGGTCCTTCTATTTAAACAAGACATTCATGCTGTGTTAACACTACAGAGTTCACACCAACAGAAGGAAGAAAGTCTGTCATATGCTCAGCCTTTAGAGAAAAGCACCGTTACCATTTTAGGGTGTCTGCTTCTTGGAGTTTTGTTTTAGCATCAGCAGAGGGATCACTTTCCCACTTAGACTGTCTATCTCTTGAGTCACTGCTTTTCCCTAAAGCCCTTCACTGGACATTATGATTTTTTTTCCTGTTGCCAGGCAATGGCAGTAGCTGATAAGACATCCAGTAGGCAGAAGCTGTGGGATCTCAGACTCAGAGGCTAGAAGATAGTCTCATCTATCTCTGTATTCATACAAGGCCATACTTCTACCATTTAACAAAGTGATACATATTCCAATCATATTCGTGGCAGAATAGAGACTCCTGGGGAAGAAACAAAATTGTCTGAAGCCAGCAGTTTGGTACTCAGGAGCTCCCTCTGCTGAGTCCCACAGCAATCAATTCTCTGTAGCTATTTATTTTTTATTTATTATTATTTGAGAATTTCATACGCGTGCTGTATTTACTTGCTTTTTCCCTCTCACTTTCCACACACCCCTGCCTGTGTTTTCCCCACTCCTTCTCCGTTTTGTGATCTCCTATTCTCTAACTAGTGTTTCATATATGCGGGCATATAAATATATAAATACAACTTCCCAAGTCCGTTTAGTGTTGCTCATATGCATCTGCTCTTAGGGCTGGCCACTGATACTGGATAACCAATTAGGGGGCTTCTCCCTGGGGAAGACTGATTCTTCCTCTCCCAGCAGCTGTTAATTGCCTGTAGCTGTTCATCTAGGCGTAGGGCTTCATGGGATTTCCTCCTCCCACACTGACAAATTTTCAGGTGTTGTCCTTTGTTTAGGTCTTGTTTAAAGAACTGTGTTGTTCAGATTTCATGGAGGTACATGTTTTCTATCATATAGAGAAGGAAGCACACATCCTGGTCCTCTGGCTCTTACAATCTTTCCGCCCTCTCTTCTGTGATGTCCCGAGTCTTACATGCAGGGGTTGTGTTGTAGTTGTATCAACTGGGGATGAGCACCCCACAGCAGATTGTTAATGTACGTTTTGACCAGTTATAGCTTTCTGTAATGGTCTCTGCTGCAAAGAGAAGCTTCTTTGGTGAGGGCTGAAAGCTACACTTATCTGTGAGTGTAAGGATAATTATTTAGAATGCAATTACAAATACATTATATTGCTTTAGGAAAGTGGAGGTAATAGGTTCTCCTCTAAGTTCCATTGCTTCATGAGCATATATTTTAACATTCATTGTTTGGTCCATATTATTAAATACACACTACTTATAGATCTCTATGTATACATATGGTATGGATGTTTGGGAAGGACAAACTAGTGACATTTTAACCTAAGTCTGTTTCTGAATTTCAGTGATAACTAGATGGTGTCATAAACTAGCAAGTAGACAGTCACCTGTATTTGGCTGTTAGTGTATGTGTGGTTTTTATTTTAACTAAAGTTAAGACATAGAGACTTGGCAATATCTAGGAGCCAGACATTCAATTGGAGTGGAGGTAGGGCAGGGCAGGATACATGAACATAGCCTTTTGATTCTCTGAATCCTTTGACCAGATTCTTTCAGCACTTCCCAGATAGGGCTTGTAAGCACAGCAATAAACTGCAAAGGAAGTATGATTCACCCCTCTTTAGTTCAGTCATGAACATCTCAAATCTAAAGCTTTAGGTTGACTGCAAGATTTTCAAAAGTTTAATGCAATGTTTCTTTGTTAAAATATTTTTAATGATAAATGTTCAATTTCATGTTTTTAAAGAAAATCAAAACTCTAACATCCAAAAGATACATATATTGTGGATGTATTAGCTTCCAAATTATGGGTCCAAATTACAACACATGAGTAATTTCACTATTATCTGGACTACATCAGACTCTGGGCTATACAATTCTCTGTGTTTTTCTGTGGACTGTACAATATTCCACTACCGTGTTCCTTTTCTAGTGCTTGCCATCAAGAAAGTATAGCAAAAATGTAATAATGGAAGAACTAATAGCTAAATTCCTGCCAGAAGAACTCAAGGAACGAAGGAGGCTTTACGAAGAGGAAATGGAAGAACTCTCTAAGTATGTACATGCATGTTTCTGTTTTCCATTTCATGCACTTCAGCTCACGGAAACTGACACACTTCTTACTAGCTCCTTGTTCAGTGATATCATGTTCCTAGTTTGAAATGGCCATGGTAAGGTTATTTACATCATGGAAGTCAGCAAAGCCCCCTCCCATCCCTCTCGGAAGCAGTTGTTAAACATTTACCAGCAGGTCTCTGAAGAGTGCACCAGCCAAACCACAGAGCCACGTGACCCATCTCAGCACTAGTAAGTGCATGTTATGGGAAGGAGTGGATTAAGGAGTCGCTTAATTAGGAGACCTCATGAGACAACTGGAAGATGCCTTTAAGTGGCTTAAATGGTGGTGTGAGCCATACCTGGGGTTAAGACCCAGTTCTATCTGAGTATGTTTCGTGATCATGGGCATGCTATTTCACCTTTCTGGGGGTCAGTTTCCTTGCCAGTGACTTGAAGATGACAGCTCTTACATTATGGACTTGTTCTGGAGACCCCAATGAGTTGGTGCACAGCAAGCAATTAATGAATGGCCATGGTGCCTATACTTGGTGTGTATTTCCTCTGCCACACATGGTGTGAGAGGTGAAGGGGCAGGATGGAGACATAATTGGATCTTCAAGGGCTCTGACTGGTCTGCACTTAGCAGAAAAAGCAGGACATAATAATGAAGTCCTGTGCCTCTGACTGCTACCCTCCTCCCTGCCCTCCCAAAGAGTTCCCACAGCATTCTGAAGGCTTCCTGAGGGGAAAATCGCCTCAGTTTATTTGCCCTCTGGGGAGAGAGCATTTCTGAACTGCGCATCCGTCGGTTTGGATGTGCCTTCACTTGGCATGTTTTTCTCAGAGACTAGAATTCTTTGGTTCTCATTGGTTTTTACATCGAAATTACTCTGTACAGTTTTATCTCTTTCCTGCTTCTTCACTTAGTCTTTAATCCAGTGGTCCTCAACTTTCCTAATGCTGCGACCCTTTGATACAGCTCCTATTGTCATGGTGACCCCCAACCATAACATTATTTTCATTGCTACTTCATAACTATAATTTTGCTGCTGTTATGAATCAAAATGTAAATATCTGATATGCAAGCCCTGTGAAAGGGTTGTTTGGCCCCCAAAGGGGTCATGACCCACAGGTTGAGAATGGCTGCACCTCTCTGAGTCCTTTTTTCACTGTCACTTAAGATTGTACTAATCAATAGTACATACTGAGGGGCTTTCTATTTAAAGGCATCTCAGGCCTGACCCCTTTTAAGATTTAGACAGATGGCCTTACATTTCTTGGCCCATTTAGGTGCTTTGTTCCTTCACTGGCTTTACTAGATGATTCAGATGACCGGGCTCTCTGACAAGCTGGCCCAGTTGGGGGTTTCCCATAGGGTCATGTCCCTGAGTTTTCAAGGGTATTCATTGAAAAGCAGATTCCTGCATTGCAACTCCAGAGTGAATGCATCAGTATCTCTGAAGGTGTATTGGCTGAGTCTCTAGATTTGAGAGTCCCCCATTATTCTCATGTCCATGAGCATTTGAACATCACTGGGACACATTTGTCTTGTTGGCCTCTTGATGAGTGCTCCTTCTAGCTGGGTCTACTCTGAATAGTCTCTGAGAGGCTTGGCAAATTTGAAATGCATGTAAGGACATTGCAGGCAGGTTTTTACTGCCCCTCTGGAAAGCTGGGTGCATTTATACCATCAGTGCCACTCTTCATGTCTCAAGAAAAGTGCCTGAACTGGTCCATTTGGGCAGAGAAAGGGAGGAAGAAAGGGAGGGGCAGCATGGCTGTCACCCACTGTTCATAGTAATAGAGATCTAATCAATAAACTTAGAATGTGTGCAATGCCAGTTTAGGCTTTCAGATTTGGCTAGTCTCCACATTGGATCATGGAACTTGGCCTACAGCATCAACTGCACCTCAGTGTTTTTCTATCATCCATTAAACTTTGATGACTCCTTGTCTTACTCCAAGGGACATCATATTGTGACATTTGATCAACTGATCTATGCTCTACCCCATTGGTTTGAGATCCACCTCGTATTCTCTTCCCAACAGCTTAAATAAGAACGTGCCTATTTTCGTGTGTACCATGGCCTATCCCACCGTTCCTTGTCCCCTGCACATCTTTGAGCCTTGTTACCGACTGATGATTCGGAGATGTATTGAGACAGGCACAAAACAGTTTGGCATGTGCCTTGGAGATCCTGTCAAAGGGTAAGTGAGGAGATGTAGGGAATAGGGAAGTTAGGCAGAGAGGGATTTCTTTTTTACTTTGGAGGGGTTCTAGAGGTGCGGTCAACCAAGTTCATGAGGTTAGCCAGCTCAGAACACCAAAACATCTGTGAAGATCACAGTCCTTCTGGGGCCTGTTTTACAGTAGGAAAGGCTCCCTATTTAAAATAACCCTAGAAGTAATATTTCATTAAGCAGGGGGCATACATTATAAAACTTGTCTTGTGGGCTAGGGTTGCAGCTCAGCCTGCCTACCAGTCACAAAGCCTTGGAATCGATCCTCAGCACTATATAAACCTGGAGTGGTGTTGCACACCTACAATCCCAAAAGTGGAGAGTTGAAGGCCAGAGAATACATATGAAGTCCAAGGACAGCCTGAAAAACGTGAGAGCCTGTCTTAAAAACAAAAGTCAGAAACAAACAAACAAAATTGTTTTGTTAAGTGTGTTAGCCCTAGAGCTAAACTACCCACTTTTATATTTGAGTGCTGACCTTGGAGCACCTTTGATGTTGGGCAAATCATATAGCCTTTTTGTCCCCAATTTCTTTGTCTGTTAAGTGGACATGATGGTATGCCTACCTAACTGGTCTTCCTTATTGGGAGAACTTATGAGTTATTGGTGTACTCCAAGCACTAAACACAGTCCCTGTCTAAATGCATCCATTTGGGATACTGTAATATAATGCTGTGTAGTAAGTAATTTATAAGCAATTACAGATGTGAACTACCACAGGCACTAGAAATTTATGCCTACTGTGAAGTCTACAGCCAATGTGCCGTAATAGTCATTTTTTTTGGCTTTTTTTTTTCTGAATCCAGAGCCTGTATATGCTAGGCAGGTATTTTAGTTGGGGTTTCTATTGCTATGAGGAGACACTATGACCAAGGCAACATTTATAAAGGAAAACATTTAGTTGGGGTCACTTGCTTACAGTTTCGGGGGGTTTAGTTCATCATGGTAGCAAGACATGGCAGCATACAGGCAGACATCTTGATCATAAGGCAACAGGAAGTGGACTGAGATACTGGGTGTGGCTTGAGCATATATGAGACCTCAAAGGCCACCTCCACAGTGACACACTTCCTCTAAAAGGGCCATACCTACTCCAGCAAAGCCACACCTCCCAATAGTGCCCTTCCCTATGAGCTTATAGGGGCCAATTACATTCAAACTACTACAGAAGGTATTCTACCATTGAACTATATCCTAAGCCTGTTTTGTTTTATTTTGAGACCAGGCGGGACTAAGTTATCCAAGCAAGCCTCAAATTTGTGATTCACCTGTTAACAGCCTCCTTTATAGCTAGGACTATCATTGTATGCTATCATGTTCAGGATGTGATAAGGCCTTGTTGTGTTATAACATGGTGGAAAGGCAAAGAGGAAGTGAGCGAAGGGAAGTCCCACCTTCCTCTTAATAATGAACACACTCTTGCAGTAATCACTCCTTTGTGGCTTGATCACTTCTTAAAGGTCCTGCCTCCTAACAGTGTTAAAATGACAATAAATTTCAACACACGCTTTGAGAGGGACAAACATTTAAACTATAGCACTGCACATAATATGTGCTCAACAAATGGTAGCAGGTGTACCATTATGTTCAGCTCTCTTTTTTTTGTTTTCATAGATGCTGCCTGTTGTATAGCTGCAGTTGTAGATCAGGGCACAGAAGTCCTCTAGCAAACAGCACAAGGTGCTAGGAATGGCTGGGGTCTAGGCCGGGAACAATAGAACTCATCACCAATCTACTCTCTTGACTTGATTCTCAACAAACAGGTTTGCAGAATATGGCTGCATCTTAGAGATCAGAAATGTCCAATTCTTTGCTGATGGCCGATCGGTGGTTGACAGCATAGGCAAGAGGCGCTTCAAGGTGCTCCACCAGGGCCAGCGGGATGGCTACAACACAGCTGATATTGAATATATCGAAGATCAAAAGGTGAGGGTGGCCAGTGCCAACAAACCTAACAGCCAAATTATCACGGTAGTTTGATATACCAAGATGATTGCAAAGGGGTTTCTCAGAATTGTCTTGGGGCCTTGGCATTTCTCACCCAATTGCTACTGGATGAATGTTATTGGGACTGCTGCCCAATTGCATCCATAGTCCTCCCGCCCCTCCCCTCCTCCCTCCCCAAGGGGGCTTGATTTAGAAAGGGGTGTACACATAAGTATTTTAACTATGGATTGATTTATATTTTCCAATGCATTTCTCTTGAGATTATGGTAGATTTAAATATAAATTTGCATTTTAAAAATGTGCAACTTGCCCCAGAACACTATTCCTAAATCAGAGTCATTCACCCTCCCCAAAAGTAAAAAAAAAAAAAAAATGTCACATGTCCAATTAATCCTTGGTGTTTCTGAGCTAATGGGGAGATGAAGAGGTCAGTAATCCCATGCTCATTTATATTATTTATGTAGTAGATTAATACATGATTAATAGATAAAACAATTTGACCTTGAAGATGCACTGAGGCACAGATATATTCACACCTACCTTCCCAGTGAGTAGAATCCTGGGACTTATGCAGGGACACTTGGCTCGGTCTGGGAGGGGGGGAATGGACCTGCCTGAACTGAGTCTACCAGGTCGACCCCGGTCCTCGGGGGAGACCTTGATCTGGAGGAGGTGGGAATGGGGGGTAGGCTGGGGGGAGGGGGAGGGGGGCGAGAAGGGGAGAACAGGGGAATCTGTGGCTATTATGTTGAACTGAATGGTGTTGTAAAATAATAAAAATAAGGAAAGAAAAAGATGTAAAGATAAAAAGAGAAGGGGCATAAGCCAGCACAATGCACTTTATTCATATGCCTTCACCTGAGCTAGCCCAAGCTTCTGGCTGTCTCTCTGCTTACTGTTTCAGGCATTTTTCTCAGCTAAACCTTTTGTCTTCCTGCTCTCTCTGCCACATTTGTACTCCACCCAGCACCTGGCTGCTGGGTATTCCATATCTTACACGGGAGAAAGCCAGATGGGTGAAGGAAAAGCAGGTCAGATTCTCAAAAGAAGGTCAGGTGTCAAAAACAACTCTGAGGTGGATGGAGAAGGTAGAGAGTGCTTCACTTTCATTTTGACATTTTCAGGTTCAGGGAGAAGATTGTGCTGAACTCATGGGCTTACATAACTGTGTGTATGAGCAAGCATCCTCATGGTTTCATTCGCTCAAAACATCTCTGAAGAATCGGATACTAAATCATTTCGGTCCAATGCCAGAGAAAGATGAAGATCCCCAGGTATGTAAGAATATCTATGCAGAATAGTTGGCCCCAGCAGGTGGGAGTGTCCAGGCTTTGTGATTAGGTGGGTGTGTGGCTGTCATCCATCAAGTCAGTGCGGAGAAGAGGACAGATCCAATACAGGATTGTGTAGCTAGCCAGTGAGTGGCATGGGTAAGACCAACAGGATCCCAAGTCAGAATTGGGTTAACTGTAGTCCAAGCAGGGACTTGGAACTAAGACAAATACTGAGAAATAAGTGAGGTGCAAGGAAGACAGCAACAGCAGTGACCAAAGAACCTCCAGGGGGAGCCCAGACCTGCGCCGTGGTAATGCTAGGGCGACAGGATACATACAAAGGCCAGGGAGTAAGAGACGCTAACTAAGGCTGCTACTTCCTGCCAGCTTCATGTCCCCTTCTCCAGTCCTGCAGGAGCTGGGAGGTAGGATCACCTACACGACAAGAGTCCAGCTGCAGAAACCTTCAAATCCAGCCCATCTACGCATAGCCCTGCAAGTCTAGACCCTCACCGTTGTTCCTAGCTTGAGCAGGTCCCGAGAAAACTGGCCCTCAGGACATGGTTCATTAGGTTCTAGTGTATTGCTCTTCTCCCTTGAGGAACAGGTCTCTGTGAGCTCAGGCTGCAGATCCAGAGTCCACTAGGCAGTGGGCAGAGTTTGCTTTCACCACACTTTGCCTGCCTTGTTTCAATCAGGCAGTGTTCATGGGGAATTCCAGTTTGGAGAACAGAAGGCCGGGGCAGCTCTATTCTCTTAATGCTACCTTTCCCCATATTCTAAGCTGGCTGTCCCACAGAATCACTCCTGGAACTTCTTTGATTTCTTTTTTAGTTTCTGCTTCCTGATTCTATCACAATAGAAAAATCTGAATATATATATATACATATTCTGACCTTTCTGCCTAAAGACGGCAGTGTGACCTTGGGGAAATCCCTTCCCCCTCTCAATTTTTCTCTAAAATCAGACAGGATTATTAGGAGTCTAAAGTTCCTCCTCCTCCTCCATTCTGAGGTTTCAAAACACCTGTCAGTTTCCAAATGGACTGAAGAGTCTTGCTTCCTCCAGCCCACAGAGTGGCTCTTCTCCCTCCATACAAAGGCAGGACTCACATGTTCTAAGGAAGGCAAAGCCAGCAAGTGCTTCCTGGTGACCCAGCTCTTGGCTATGGTGATTCAAGAAGACAGCATAACTCAGAACAAGGTCATGTTCAAGCTTAATGTTCCCCTTCACATGCCGGGGAACATTCTCTTCCAGTCAGGCAAACAGACAGAGATCAACAGTGCTAACCACATCTTCCACAGGAGAAAACCCAGGTGCCTCAGTGTGATTCATAGGGCCTTAATGACATAGCAAGCCCAAATCATTTCCCTTCTTATTAGTTTTGTTATCATGTTGCCTTGGTCGTGGCAGCAGCAGCAAAAACTCATCCAGTTTGCTGTATCTAATTTTGCAGCCCCAAGTAGTAGTTCCACGAATAAGAGTATCATAACTTGGTGGGAGGTTTCTTAGAAACAGCCACAGTATTAACATCATCAGTTTAAGTATCTGCTGGTGATCTTGGGAAAGAAAGTTCAGAATAGCAACCTGGTATCCAGAAGTGATTGTAAGAGAAAATACCTTGCACACTACAGTGAGGGAGAGAGAGGGGGTGGGGTGGGCAGGGGTGTCCAGATGAAGCCAGAGGCACAGAAAAACCAAGTGTCGTTCAGGAACATTCAGGGAGAAACACACAAAGCAGTTTCGAGTCAAATAATCTCAGACCAGCATGGGCTTCTCTACAAGTGGAAAGCTGACTCCTTTTGAAAGTTGTGGGAAGAAAACTCATTTGAGGATTAGTAATACATGTCTAAAATGTGTGCTCAGGAAGCTGATGACAAAGAGCATTTCAGTGAAGGATTGGTAAGGGATGAGAAGTGTCAAAAAGAAAACCCGAGGGTTAACAGGAATGTGTTTTCTAATTGGAATGTTTGGTTGCTGTTCTTTGAAACTGGAAATCATAGCTCTTGCCTTCAGGGGAGATGATAACTATGGCTCTGTTTGTGACATGGTATATTTAGACTACAGCCTTCCACCAAAGTAAGAAAATGGTGGGCGTTAAAAGGCATGCCAAGCCCAAAGAGTCGTAGGATTAAAGGCCTGGATTTGAAATGGATCAGTCCAAAGGACCTGACCAGAACCTTAGAAGTAGAAGAGACAAAAGAGTGAATACTCCAGCTTGTAAAAGCACACTGCCTAGGGAGCACAGTGTATGTGTTAAGATGTTGGTTCGCTTGGTTTAACAAGTAGTAAAGATGATTGAGAGTCAACAGAGAGAAGACCCCAGTCCTGGAGGACTAAGGCAGTTCTCTTCCAAGAGAGCATCCAGCAACCCAGGTTCTTCCATCACAGAGCTCAGCCGTCTTTAGAGAGTTCGTTTTTCTTGATTGAAGAAGATTGAGCCTCACCATGACTTCAATCTTGTTAGAGAAAGGAGGAGAGGCTGGAGAGATGGCTCAGAGGTTAAGAGCACTGGCTGCTCTTCCAGAGGACCCAGGTTCAATTCCCAGCACCAACGTGGGGACTCATAACCACCAGTTCAAGGGAATTAGATACTCACTTCTGGCCTCTGTGGCACACAGACATACATGCAGACAAAAACACTATACACATAAAATAATAAAAACTACAAAAGAAAAGAAATGGGAGGAAAAAGGAAGGCAGAGGCTGCATACTCTTTTCCCAGAACTTACACATATCACTTCTATTTATATCTTTTTAGCCAACATTTTGTCTATGGCTTCACCTAGCTGCAAGAAACACTGGGAAATAATAATGTCACCTACCCCCTACTACCATGTGGCTGTATGCTCAGCTGAAACAAAAGAGGAGAAAAACTGATGGAGACTCTCAGCAGTCTCTGCCACACACAGAAGCAGTTCCACATGGGGTGTTTACTCGATGCATGTGAACATCTGTACGTGGACCGCATGGGAATAGGATCAATGAACTGTGTTTCTCTGTTGCAGGTTAATCCAAATGGTCCAGCCTGGTGCTGGTGGACATTAGCGGTTCTTCCCCTGGAAAGCAGAGCTCAGCTCCCCTTCCTAGCAATGAGGTCCTTAAAGGATAGACTCAACGGTATTCGGCGGATCCTGGCCTTCATATCCAGAAACCAAAATTAGTGGGAAGCAGATTGCGGAAGAGGCATTTCCACCCTCTCTACTGCCCTGGGGCGATGTTCTTGTAAATATATCTAATTGCAATAACACCTTAACAGAAGAGAGTATCCTAGAGAGATGTTACTCTGCTTTTTGACCACACAGAAATTGAGTAGGAAGACCAAAAGAATGTCACCTGTTTGACTTTCTGTCTTTAGATGCTTTTTGACACAAACAACCAGAGGTGTGGAAGAGCCCAGAAAAAGTTGTTTAGCACCAATTTCTCTGAAAGTCGAATGTGACCTGTCTTTCATAACTGAGTGACTGTGTGGTTGAAATGTGAAGCAGAGATGCTAACATCACTGCATTCTTTCACTGACTTGAGGTCTCGTTTCAAATGGTTCAGGTTTTATAGAGCATTGTGTAAAATAATGTTCATACTTCTTTCTGTTTTAATAATTTATTTTTTGCACTACTGTATCCTTTTTCTACATGTACGTTTGTAACTATTTAAGTGTACATTACTGAAAAGTCCGTTGCTTTATTTATTGATGTGGTTGACTATGTATGTAGGGGGAATAACAGTACTAAACATGTGCAATGTTCTTTAATTTTTTTTTCTGAATTGATCCCAATTCTTGGGCCATTTTTATATAGTTCGTGTCTATCCTAGTGAACTAAGTTTCAAGGAATTTTGGAAGGCTTCTAAGGTAATTTGTCTTCACAGATTCCACTCTTTCAGTTTGATTTAAGTGATAGAAAATACTTAATTGATTTGGCATAAGTTGTGGTGTGTGCAAGAGTAAAGTGAAATAATCCATTTTCTGTGTGTAATACAGAATAAGGCTGAAAAAATTCTTTAGGAATGGAGAGATGAATTAGAAGTGTCTTTTATTACAATCTATTAGAGGTATTTGTTTCAGGCAATCTAGTTAGAAGTGTATTAATTTCTCTCCAGTGCAGTTAAGGATAAGATTAATAGTTATCTGGTTTTTCAGAGAGAATGACATCAAGACCTGTACCAGCATCTGCTGAAATACTTGAGGGACTATTCCTTCTTAAAGGTGTAAAGAAATCAGAAAGGTTAGAATCCCTTTAAATCTCTATAAAAGAACCAGAGACTGCATCCATGATTTCATGTAAACACTGCCTTCCCTCCTGCTAACAATGGGCCAAAGATTCCAGTGCAGGGGGAGAAAGGAAAGAGAAGGGGCAGCAGTGGCCGCTTACCTTGCTTAGCGCTAGTCTGAGGCCTTTGGCGCCAGAGAAAGCTGAAAAATAGATCGTGGGAGTGTTATAATGGCAGAGGAAAATTAGAGCCGGGAAAAGTGAATGGTCGCATTTGTCTCTTACTCAAACTACTCCCAGGTGGTTTTGGACAGCTAAGGTGTGTTAGTCACGTGTAGCCCCTCCACTCTGTTAACGAGAGAGAGAGAGAGAGAGAGAGAGAGAGAGAGAGAGAGAGAGAGAGAGAGAGAGATTCAAGGTTTAGTCTGGGTTCTTCTGTAACCACAAGAAACCTGAAGGAGGTGGGGTTTTTGTGTTAGACAGAGGTGATCTCCAGATGCTGTAAAAGAGACTCATGTAAGCAGAAAGTAAATGATCATCTGCACTTGCTTATGTAGGCTGTGTTGTCAGAGCATTACCAGCTTTGAAGTTTGGAATAATCTGGGCAGGTGAAGAATGCAAGTGTATGGAATGGAAATACAGGATGGAGTGCTATCTGAGTTAAGTCTAGAGGGCTCAGAGAGCAGGAAATGAAGATGCTTTCCTCTCACACCTGACACCCGACCATACGATCATGGCAAAGTGTTCTAGTATGATTGTTTCCTAATTCTATAGTACAAACCCAACAGAGAAAAGAGTCAAAAGCTTCCTCCACTTGTTACATGTCTTACTTTGGCATTAATTGAACTTGCGTTGAGCTCCAGTTTCTTCATGTATGAAATGGTACTGGTGCTCATATACTAAAACCAGAATGACACAGAAAAGATTAGCACAGCCTCTTTGCAAGGATGGTATGCAAATTTGGATAGCATTCTAGATTTTTATTAAAAGATGGAATAGTGGTGGTATTAATAGCATATAGGCTTCCTAGGAATGTTAAATGGGACATGTCAGAAATTACTTAGTGCAGTACCTTGATGATGGGAGATATAAACTGTAACTATTATCAGCCATGTTGTAGAACATTATCCATGGCCTACAGTTACATGAAGCGCTGCCTTTGCTTACAATACTCATTTGTAGCCACTTTAAGCTTGGTTGGGAAAATCGAAACCACTGATTCTTGGATCACAACTTGATGGTTTGCAAGTAACTCCTATTGTGGTTAAAACTAGGAAAGCAGGCCTGGGGATACAGCTCAGTTGCTAATGTTTGCCTTCCATGCATGGGTCACTGGGTTCTAGCCTCAGTACTGTAAAAATATGAGAAAATGAAAGGACGGGAGAACAAATGAATGTTAGAAGTAGGGACTGATTCCTATGCCAAGAAAATAATTTCCATTTTAATAAGGGCTAAAAAGTAATGCTGTATTTGGGGGCATCTAGAATTCCTGAAAGAATGGAAGCCTTAAGTTTTAGCTTCCATGAGCATAACCAAACCATCCCTCCCTATTCTTCAAAATGTGTTGAAAATTTCAACTATACCAGAATAATTAGATCTCACCATCTAGGAGTTTTGCACATAGCTAATGTTATTTCTTTATGCTGCCCCAAATAACAGGCTCTACAATGATGTGTTGAGAACATGTACCAGGTACTAAACTGAGTGATATCATTTACCTGAACAAATGAAATAACCTTTTAGACAGCATTGCTAACCCCACATATGGATAAGAAAACAGAGGCTCAGCAATTTTAAAGACTATGCCTATGTAACATTTTCATCCAATGAGTGGCCAAGCTTGGTTCTTTACCTTTCATGTAGCAGATCTTTCAACATTTTGAATAGTTTGTCATGCATGTTTTATTCAACAGATATGGCAGCCAAATCACAAAATACCCTAAGAACTCAAAATGAGAAGTTCCAGGTGAAACTGCCTAAAACATCTCCCTTTAATCTAAGAGAAAAAGGAAGTTCGGCTTCTTAATAAAATCTCATTGATAAGAGGGTACCCAATCTGAGCACATGGAAATCTTGGCTGGCCTAAATAGTGTGTTCCTCTGAGCAGCCTGAATCCATGTTGGGGTTGTTCTCCAGCCAGCTTTTGTTTCAGTGATGGCAGGAAGTGGGAAAGTAGGCGTTAACTTTCTTCAGGATGTACATGAGTGGGATAATCAGTTGAACTTGACCATTTTAGCACTTACAGATTGATTGGTTCTGCTTCTAAGCACAGTAAGGATGAGTATAGAGATGAAAGCTAAGTCTCAACCGGAAGGACAAGATTCCCCCTTGTAGACAGTGCCACTTTCTTGGGTTAGTCTTCCTTTCTACCGTGACTTCATAGCTGACCCAGTCCTTTCCTTGTAGATTATTTTCTCTGTGTGTATGTATCTATGTGTGTGTGTGTGCGCGTGCACACACACATGCACTAGGTAGCAAGCAGACCTTATGCCTTTCTGCTTTGTACCGTCTACTGCTGCTAGCTAAAAACCAGCAAAATGTAGAAAGTGAAAAATGAAGAAACTACTTTTCAGCGGATAATTTGAAAAAAGGGGTGTTTGCTCCTCACTTTGAGGAGCAGAGAACTATTCCAATAGCTTGCCTTTCTGGAGGCCAACTGCTTCAAGTTCAGTACTGCCTCAGTAGCAGAGTTGAGTTCTGGCACGTGTGGTGCTGCCATCTCTGCCTGTGGAGCTGACTTGGGTTCAGATAACCCCCTGTGATTAGCCACAGAAGCCTCAGAACTCCCATGGCTGGGCCACTGAAGCCAGAGGTCTCTTACTGCCAACAGGTTGTGTCCTGTTGATGGACTGCAACCCACTGGGGCCTGAATGCCCTGTGCCAACTCCATTCCCAGCATTTTCGCCCTAGATTCATTCCTTGGGTTCCCAGCGTGTTGACTGTGTGTCCATTTCTACTCATCCAGGTAGAAACGGGCAGGCTCTAAGTTCATTCTTAGGCCTAAAGAACGAGGTTTTGATTCTGGATGGAAGACAGCTCTTAAAAGCTTTGCTTTCTGGCATTTCTAATATGCAGAGAGCAGGAAGGGAAAGGAGCCATGCACAGTGTACACATCCAATTCCTTTTAGAATGGCAGATCCCACCCACTCCACTGCTTAACTACCTAATACTCTGGGGTTTACACATCCACAGATGAAATGAAGAACTTTTCACCTAGAAGTGGGTGTTTCCAAACATGTTAAGTTAACCTCCAGAGAGAAGTGCCTGGAACCACTGTTCCTGGTGTCACTTTAAAGCTTTGGCTTCATGACTTTGTAGCATTTAAAAACCTTTTGCAGCCACAAATGTGATTAACAGAAGTTTACAAAGCAACACTGTACCTTGTGCATTATCTTAAAAGTCCACTGGCATTCATCTACTGTTCAGGTGACGAGGACAACTGATGAGATAAAAAGAAGAGCAAATAGTTCATCGTGGCACCATTGGCTGATGTTAGATAAATGAGTCTCATTATTGTATGCAGTTCTCTGTAACGCCAGGATTAAAACAGTGTGGATATGTGTTGGCTTTCCATTTGTTTGTTAAGCAGCCATTTTGCTTTTGCACAGTCATGAGTTGAAGGGAAATTAAGATGCCGCTCCCTCCCCACCAATGCTACTCAACTACCTCTATATGCCTGGTTTCTTTTTAGGGGTTCCCTTCTTCTAAATCTGCACAAAATAGTTTCAGCTCATCTACGTTGTAATCGCAATGTGATATAGACAGTCTCTGTGAAAATTGTTTGTTCATTAAACAAAGGTTTCCTGTTGTCTCTGTATCTACCAAAGTGTATTCTATCCTAGAAAAGTAATTAACTGGCCAGGTTGAGCCTGGTGTTCCAGGGCTACAGTCACAGCTACATGGGAAGCTGAGGCTGGGGATCACAAGTTCATCACCAACCTAGGGAATATAGACCCTGTCTCAAAACCTAAAAGCTGGGCTTAGTTGTGCAGGCCTGTAATCCCAGCTACTTTGGAGGCTGGAGCAGAAGAGTTGCAAGTTCAAGGCCTGTGTGGGTTTCAGAGTGAGTTCAAGGCCAACCTTGACAATGCTGTGAGATCTTGTTTCAAAAATAAATAAGTAAGTAAATAAATAAACACCATTAAAAAGGGTTGGCGATACAGCTCAGGCAGAACACTTGCCTAGCATACACAAGGCCCTGGCTTCCATTCAAATTACACAGAAAGATCAAAGAAAAAGAAGTAACCAGCTGGTTTCAGCAGCACTGTAGCATATCATGATGACAGACCCTCTAAAGAACTGAGTATGCACCTCAGCGGTAGAACACTTGCCTAGCATGAGTCAGGTCCGTAATTCAACCCACAGCCCTATAAAGTCAATGCAAAGTCAAACAACTCTTTATGGAACCAGGTCTGCACCCCAGCAGCAAACACGTACATGCATGGCAATGAGGCAGGTGTGAATGGATTAACATGACTAATACGTTCTGAAACATTGGCTATAAATGGAGTGTTTTTTTTTAAACAAAACAAAATAACAACAACAACCAAAACCCACTGGAAAGGTTTGCTTATATTTAAGGACTTATTTTTAAGCATTTTTCTCTCTTCTTTTCCAGCTATCCACTTGTGCATTTATCTCGTGGCTTTTGTTTTAAGCATTTCTTTTACTCCTCAGTAAGTCCATAGACGAATCCACTGTGTTTTGACCCTTTCCGTCCCCTACACCCTATCCCTCCTCCAACTCCTCCCGGGCCTCCCCTGATACGTTTCCTTTCCAATGTCAAACCTTACCTCTTTTTCCTCTCTCTCTAACCCACTGAGTGCAATTAGGACTGCCTGTGTGTGTGTGGATGTGGGGCCATCCACTGAGGGATGGGAAACCTACCAGAGGCCACACCTCCAAAGGAAGATGATTCTTCCTCCTCCAGTAGTCAGCAGCCTCTCAGCTCAGGGTTGAAGCGTTTTTCCAATTATCGGTCTAATTTCTTTGTAAACACAACAGTCTTGTATTGTGGCTGACTCAAGCAGATCACCTGCCTGCTGTTTCACCACTGTCATTGTCACGAAAGAAAGCTAGATTTGCTGTTACCTTCTCATGCCGTGGCTAACGTTTTTGATGAACCTTTTTATCTCTTCATTTTTTTAAAAATGTAAATGCTTTTATTTTCATTGAGTGGTTTATCAAGAAGAGCTTAAAGGGAGCTGAGGAGATGGCTGAAGGGGCAAAAGCACTTGCTGCCAAGCTGGATGACCTGAGTTCAGTCCCTGGAACACACACGCAAAACACACACACACACACACACACACACACACACACACACACACACACTAACTAACTAACTAACTAACTAAACAGATATAAACAAAATGATTTTTAAAAAAAGAATAGCTTAAGCCAGGAAGCAGTGGTACCCACCTTACCCACCTTTAATCCCAGCACTCAGGAGGCAGAGGCATGCTCATCTCTGTGAGTTCGAGGCCGGCCTGGTCTACAGAGCGAGTTCCAGCTTGGCTTAAAGGTGAAGCCAAATCATGAACCAGTGTTATGGCACTGAGGATAGAACCTAGGATCTCACAGGCCCCACAAGTGCTCTACCGCTGAGCTTATCCTCAGCCCAGCACGAACTGAATGATGGGAAAACGGATAAAAAGTCACTGGGCCAATGTGTTATATTAGCCAAATTGGCCCCAGCAAGAGCGCTTCAGCAACGTGTCCCATTTTCTCTGCACTGCTGATTTTTGTGGTGTGCAATTAATGGCATTTATGCAACTTTTATTCTACCACTGAAAAAAGGACACAAGAATGAAACGATGAAAAAAATGAGCTGAAGCTGGGGATGTAACACACTTGGTAGAGTGCTTGCCTAACATACAAGACGCCCTGGGTTTGGTAATCAAAACTACATAAAGTTGGCATGGTGCACCTGGGAGGTGGAGGAGGATCAGAAGTTTAGGGTCATTTCCATTACATAACTAGTTCAAGAGTAGCCTGGGATTCTTGAGACTTTTTTTTTTTTTTTTAAGAAAAAAAGAAAAGGAAGGAAGGAACGAAAAATTGAATTGAAAGACTGGGATATAGCTCAGTGATAGATTGTTTGCTTAGCATATTCAAGGCCATGGGTTCAATTCCCAGTAAAGAAAAAAGAACTGATAGTCCAGGTTCACTGTCACACAGCTCTAATGCCCACTAGAGAGGCCCAGAAAGGATGATTTTGAGTTCAAGACCACTTTGGACAATATAACGAGAACCCCTCTTTCAAAACAATAAAAGGGAAGTAGAGAATAGCATAAAAAAAAACCAAGCATGCTGTTACCCACCTATGATATTGGTTACTCAGGATGACTGAAGTATGGAGATCATGAGTTCAAGGATAGCCTGGGAAACATGGATTCAGTCTTAAAAACAACAAAATAAAATGATGGGAAAACTCTGTCTACTTGGGCCCAACCTGTTTGTTCTAACATGACTTATAGAGTAATCGAGAAAAATCAAAATTCTTGGCCCATTAAGGCCCAGCAGGGATGGTTGCTTGTGTCCAGTCTGACTGTCTCTATTCACAGGAGACACACTACACTTAAGCCAAAGGCGCAAGCTCCCTTTCTAAGGCGGTTCTTCCACCCAGAATGGCCGCATAGCTTTCTCTCTAGAGAACTGGATTGGGCCATCTGTAAGGAAAGCCAGTCCTATTTGTTGTTGTTCCAGAAGCTTCAAGTATATCCAAAGCTGTCAGTTTCTTCTGCCTCCCCTCTGGGATCCATTCTGGCTCCTTTGAGTTTTCCAGGGCCAAATATGGTTCCCTAGAAAGTTCTCCCAGTGACAAAATGAAGGCCCAGGACATGGAGGAAAGTGCCTTAAGCTCATGGGCTCCCCAAAGCCACAAGACCACCTTCTAACAGTTTGATTTCTTCATCCCCAGGAAAGGTTGAGGGAGGGTGGGAAAGGAGGAGACTCATCTGCGGTCATCTCAAGGTGGATGTGTAGCCTCGTCAAGAAGCCTTAACATCTCCACACCTCCTACCACTCTCCAGATTTTTGCTTACTTACCAATTTTCCCGCTCTGACCTACAGTCACACTGACTGGCCACCTTTGTTTCCTTTCCACTTTTACACATATATGTACTAGCACATACCACTGGTGCATTGACAAGCACTGAAAAATTTTTCCTACATCTATTGAAGCACAGCGCCACCAAAATCGTACCTCATTGCAAATACTACCTACCTTCTTGGGAGTAAGTATCAACAATGTCTAAATGCTTAACGTTCAGCAAAATTAAGTCCTCAAAATAGCTCATTTGCTCTAAATCCAATGATTCTACAAATATCTGGCTTCTTAGGGATGCTAAAGGTTTAGTATAGTTCTAGTCAATAATCACAGGAAGAGGTAGGATAACTGCCCCTTTAGGCTACCGGGATGTCTACTGACACCTTGAGTATGTGAGGCAGGATAGACAGAGAAGATTATGTAGATTTAATATTTAATATTTATGTATATATACAGATATACCTATATGACATGAAAGTAGGAAAACTATGAGAAGGGAAGAAGAGGTATAAAAGGGGGTGGTGAATGAGAGAGTGTAATGGTAAATGTGTTGGCTAGTTAGTTTTATGTCAACTTGACACAAACTAGAGTCATCAGAGAGGAAGGAGCCTCAATTGAGAAAATACCTCCATAAGATCAGGCTGTAGGCAGGCCTGTAGGGCATTTTCTTAATTAGTGCTTGATGTAGAGGGTCCCAGACTATTATGGGTTTTATAAGAAAAGGCAGGCTGAACAAACCAGGGGAAGCAAGCCAGTAAGCAGCTCCCCTCCATGGCCTCTGCATCAGCTCCTGCCTCCAGGTTCCTGCCCTGCTTGAGTTCCTGTCTTTGCTGATTTTGATGATGATGGTGATGTGAAACTGTGAGTGAAATAAACCCCTTTCTCCCCAGGTTGGTCATGGTGTTTCATCACTGAGATAGTAGGGGAGAAATAAATATCACATTTTACTGATATGCAGAATCAATCTTTGGCACAAAAGAAGACTATTTGGGGAAGCCAAGGGGACTGGTGGGTGGGGGTAGAATGGCTACAGATGGTAATGGGTGAATATGAGCTAGGAACAATAGTACATCTGATAATATATTAATAAAGTCCACTATTAAAGTGTTAATCACAAAAATCAATTTAAAATGTAAAAAGGGAAAAAAGGAGGAGGCTTGAGGAGACGCCCCTCCCGTTTGGAATCTAGGTTGTGTTTCTTGCTGAGTTTCAACACAACTGACCAAATTAAGACTCCTGAAAAGATTGCCTGCAGACACGATACTCTTTTTTCTGGACCTTATCACAAACAAGAGTATCGAAACATTGAGTAAGCCATGCTGAAGCAAAACAAATGTGACCTTTGAGTTTCTACCTTATCAGCACTCCTCTATCCTCCATAAATCTTAATAATGTAACTGTACCTCATAAACCAACTCATGATTTCATCTACAAAAGGAAATTTTTATAGATGAAATAAACAAGCTAATACTTTTTATTTAATTTTAAAATTTTGCCTAATGTTTAAGCTTTCTTTTAGTCTTTGAGCCTGGTTATAACTGCATCCTTTGATCAATGTAACTTCAAAAACCAAAACCCAAACCCTGTATAGCTATTGTTAAAGCCAGTTGGGCATGACCATCTGGCTCTGCTGAGAAGCCTGCATGGGTATATACTAACTCATCTTTACTCAGTGGACCCTGACTTTCTTCACACTGACTCATCCTGATTTTTTTTTCTGCCACATCAGCCAAGGTCCCCGCCTTATCTGAATAGAGGTTCTTAGGAGT